CTCATCCACACCCCTGTCGTGTCTATCGTCACTCTCCACCATCATCACCCCCCGGCACACCCAGCAGTACTCAAGGCGCCCCACGCACACCACGCTTCCCAAGCCCCCGACACCCCCGTCTGCCTTTGCCGCAGACTCAATCCTCGACTCCTACGACATTGGGTGGGAGTTTGGCAAGGGGGGCCCCAATCCGATCGACACCACATAGTCACCACATAGTCACCACAATCCAACCAAAAAGGCCAAAGAGGGCATCCCAGTCTTTGCAACTGGTCCTGAGTACCGCAGATCGCGACAACCTGGCCGCCTGTAAACGTCAACGTCTGAACCAAAACCCACCCAAGCCAAGCCAGCTATTTGCGACCCTTTCACCTCTCTTTTTTCTACCAATCCCACAGGTCGCATTCCATTGTACAACTACCACGGCCGTCGACGCATCCGCACGCTACCGAGTACATACATACATACTGGTTCTCATCGCTCCGTTCCCTCGCTCGGCCTTCCCTACCGTCGCAATCCCGTATTACTCCCACAACATTCCCACTCTCAGTCACCTATTCTCTGGGTCTCTATTCTCTTTTCTCCCGCTCCTCAAATTCCGATTGCCATTCGACCCCCACCTTCAAGGAGCAGCAAAAGAGAAGTAATCGGCGCGAGACGAACTTCTTCCAAGAACCCGTACGCCCCCCCAAAGGACAAAGTGACAAGGAAGAGGGAAAATTGAGCGCAAGAAAAAAAAAAAAAAAAAAGGAAGAGGCTGCCCAAAAACCCACCCACACCACACCCACGAGACCTCGTCTCCCCTCATTCATAGTCATACACTACCCGTTGCGGCCCACCGCGCCTTTTTTTTTATTTTATTTTTTATTTTATTTTTTTATCTCCCTCTTCCCCTTGGCTCGACTCGGCTTGTTCCTTTTCATCTGCTCTTCTTCCCTCCTCCCGTCGCCGGCTCTGTCCCTGTCTACGAGACCGGTAGGACCCTACTTGCTTCCGGAATACAACCACCAATACCCCTACATTCCATAATAACCCACGCCCCCATATACACCACCACCCGCCGCCATCACCGCTCCTAACACCACCTTTGCAACCACCTGACTCTATCCGCCGCCATCCTCGACTCCTCCGCCACCGTGAGCCAGCTCCAGAGAGCCTTGACCCTGCTTTACAAGGTGGCAAGACCCCGTTTCTCAAATCGAGCCTGGTGACGAAGTTGCATCCATTCCAAACCATATTTGCCTTTTGAGCCGCCCTCTTCGCTCTTCAGCAACCAGTTTTTCCTGCACCTGGGCAATCGAATAAATCCACATCGTCCCTAGCCGCCAGCAATCTCGCACACTACTCTTACCGACACTCAACATTTCAAAACACAACTACAGTAGTCAACTCCACCAGGTTGTGCCAACATGGACAACGAACACCAAGCACAGTTCAGCGAACAGCCGCATCTTCCTCCTCATATCGAACGGTCTCAATCGAGCTCGTCTTCCTCTTCGGTCGATCACGAACACGAAGAGCACCACATCCACCAGCCAACTCCTATCCGACCTCGGTTGCCCAGCAGAAAGAGCAGCGGGCCGTTGGTGGTACCCCGGGACAGCTCAGCAGTGGGCCCAGTAGATGCAGAGTTTGGGCCCGACGATGTGAGGGCTATGAGCCCACGGAGGACCAGTGAAGACATCGAGGCACTTGGAAGGGAAGCGCGGGAAGAGCTCAAGAGGTAAACAAAAGCCCATGCCACCTTGAGACGTTCCCACCACTAACATCATATCTACAGACACGCAAAGGCTTTGCAAGACTCGCTCTTGACCATCTTCAACCGCATCGAGGCCGTCAGAGAAGAACACGACAAGCTTGATAACAACAACAAGTTCCTCCAAAAATACATTGGCGACCTCATGACCACGAGCAAAATCACTGCCGCACCAAGCAAGGGCAAGAAATAAGGATTTCACGAGTAAACTTGGATTGAAGAGGAGGATACAGATTGCACCACATAAACACCAACTCACACTCGGCACGCGACAACACGACCGTCCATGGTAGGTCGATCGCAACCCCATGCGCTGGGGGACGCGCACCCTGACGCCATCCATTCAGGAACAACTACCCCTATGGAATGCTCTTTGAGCACTTACTACACTGCCTAATCGGACACCGCCCGCGAAGGGCATGATACCCCCTTGTGGCCGAAATGGCCTATAGCGTTATTCTGAACTCGTTTATGGCTTTACGGCACGGTCACGGTATTTGGAGAGGAAAAAAAAAAACTTGCATCGGCTCGCGACTTGTACACTAACGATCATCATCATTGGGGGTTTCGACAAACCATCAAATGACATATTGGGCATAGGACAGCATCAGGCGTTCCGGGTTATTGGTACAGGCCTACGGTCTTTGGGATTACGTTCGCATATTGTTTATACACCTCGCCATAGGCGGGAAGAGGCGTCGACCTCGAATTGACCAAAGGAATATTGTTGCATCCATCCGCATCGCCCTGGCTTCCGCAACCACGTCGGAGCTGTCCGAGTGAGAACTTTCAACCTCGACCACATTTTGCACGATTGACATTGTCCAATACTTTACCGCTGCGAATGGGTCGCGGTCTGCGAAATTTGTGGTGGTCGACCTGCGTCACACGATGATCCCTCCTCAGCTTCCGAACAGGACGAAAGCACGCCGACGTCATTTGCCACCGATTACCGACGTCGCTCACAACACCCACCATCGATTTCGTATTACGGTAGAAGGTTGCACGCGGGAAAAGATTTCGCCGAATGAGGCTTGATTGTTACGTATTTCCATCGACAATTTGTCAAAATGCTCCAGGACGGGTTGAAAGGTTTACGATATTTGCACAAAGCCGTACACAAGCGCAACGTTTTGCGACGGGTCGTTACACGAAACTCCCACCGAGCTTATGGATCGGCATGAGCTAGTCAAAGACCCTTTGCGGTTGGATGATTGGGAGCCCGAATACAGAGGAAGAGACACACGTCAAAGTCCGGAGAGATGTGCTTGAAGAAGGCTGCTATTGGCGGCTCTAGCCGCTCAAAGATCGAATGAGGGTCAAGAATGAGGCAGAGAGGGATTGGTTTGTGGGTGGTGGGATGGTGGAAGCTGACGACATGTTGGGAATAATCGGCCTTACGGGAGCTATGATCGGCTCCGGGGCGCGGGGGTATGGCAGAGGCGCGCGCTGTGTCTGCTGACTAGATTCTTGGGAGTCAGGCGCAAGAGTTTGGTTTGGGAGGGCTCGTCAGGCGTGAAGGATTTTGGAATGACATTTGGGGGTCTGTTAAGATGATGATGGGCTGTTGCCAAACAAGTGCAGGGGAGTTGATTGATGGCCACAGACACAGATATTGACAAAATGCAACTTTAGGCAGGCTAGTCCTTCATCGCCCACAGGCTGAGAACATATCACGCACATTCATTTGTCTGATCATGGCAATTCAAGAATATGATTCCCCCGCTGCTTTGCGTACCCCCGACTTTCATCCTTTCGATGACTAGAAAAGTGTCACGAATCAGCATATAGAGTAGCTCATGGAAATCGGGATCTCAACTGTGGTCTAATCAACTAGTTATGGAAAAGGGGAAAAGGGAAGCCCTCGAGGGAGCCCCTTTTGTATGCCCATACCCCCCCCTGTCTACTACCCCTTATCTCTACCCCTGAGATATCCACTGCTATACCTCTTTCGTGACAAAGAGGCATTATCATCTACCATGTTGCAATATTCATCTAGAGGGGGGGCCTCGATGTAGCTGTCTCGGCGAGAAATATCTGCGGTGCCCCTTTCGCCCCGTGGGAATTAATACTTTCGGAAGCCCATCAGCCAAAAAAACAGGACCAGGTCATATCTGCATTGGCGCTATTGAATTCTGTATTTTAACTGTTGACAGACATGCGCCCCCCCGCAAAAGAAACTGAATGTACTCTTGGACCACAACGAGGCTGCCATGTATTAGAGATCATTGCCGCCACAACTCACCCATTGAACCTGACTTTTTTGCACTTGGCGTCGAGACAACCGAGTTGGATGCGAGTGCTTTTTCTTTGATGACTAGTCACTCATACGAGCTGGTACACGTCTCTTGGGCCCGTTTATGACATATTAGTCTCGAGAGGCTCGGAGACTCACAGGATCACTTCTGGCTTGCGCATGGGACGGCTTGTTGAACGGAACATATGACTTAGTCTGCGAAAGGGAGTGATTTCATTACTCATCTAAGAGTGGCGTCTCAGAGTCCAGTAATTACCCATTCGCACGAGGCTCGCTCATGCTTCGGACATTGTGTGCCTGTAATCCATGATTCCATGGCAGAGTGCTTTGCGGAAGATTCTGTGCGTACACTGAAGCGGGCCAAATCTCCGTCGAATCAGTGTATACAGATACACAATGATGCATCTTATCCATTGCTTGTTGGTTGTTTCTCAAGATTTACCCGGCGTGATCCAACTTCTTAGTTGTCAAATCGCATGAAAGTTGGCAGATCGACATTCACGCCAATGCTCACCATCTGGTATGTCCTCAATAACTCTCGAAGTTGCAGATTTTCCAAAGATTCAAAACTAGGTAGCTTCCTCTGTAGAGATGAAAGGATGAAAATTTTACAAATATGCATTGTAAAATCCCGAGCCTCTGGTCTTGGGCTGAAATGCAACCTTGAGCTCTCTAGTTTGCTTGGCTGCTTGGCATAGTGGACTGCAAAGCTTACTTGCCGTATTCGGAAACAACCACTATTTCACCTCACAGCGCCTTCTGATATCAAACAACAACGAGTGTCTAGAGAAAACTAGTCAAAATACCATTTTCGATGCATCTTTGTAATAAATGGCAACAATAGCCGACGTTAAACTAGACGGGCCCGCTAGGTGTTGTCTTGTGATTAGTCATGGGTTTTGAGTAGCCGGTTAGCCGACGACCCTAGATTTGACGACAAACGCGCGTGTCATGAAGTCATTCCCACCCCGTCCTGTTTTGACTTCGCGAAAACTATAATACAGCGAATACAATGAATCGTCCGTCTCGCACAGATGAGCCCTACGAAGGGGAGGGCTACAACCAGAGCCCGAACGCTCTGTCAAATGACTTGACCACCAACGAAGACCTCAACGGGATCGTCAACGCCAGGGCCCTGGAGCCGGGGGAGGATGATAAGGATCTCTCGCTGGGAGACTCGGGGACGGGCGACAGGGATATAGTATCGCGCTCTTACGATGTGGACTGGGGCAAAGGCGGCGGCGGCTCCGGTCCCGCGGCTGCAGGTGCAGCTGCGGCCGCGACGACCAAGTCTGATGGGCTTGGTCTACCCGAGGGAGAGGAGGTCCTCGCGACCCCTCTCCCTACCCTTCACTCACGTCAACTTCCTCCCGGCGACGGAGGCGACACGCCCAGGATTCATCGGACATTGTATGGTCGGGTCAAAGAGGCCATTGTGAAGTTTGGCTCGTTCATTGGGCCCGGGTTCATGATTGCTGTTGCGTATAGTGAGATTCCTTACTTACTTACTCTCTTTCCTCCGTAAACACCCGCAGAAGGAAGTGGATTTTGACTAACATCCGTCCTCATCTTTTCATAGTCGACCCCGGAAACTACTCAACAGACGTCGCAGCAGGAGCAAGCTACCGTTTCAGATTGCTATTTGTCGTACTCCTGTCCAACCTCTTTGCAATCTTTCTCCAGAGCTTGTGTATCAAGCTCGGCACCGTCACCGGGCTCAACCTGGCCGAGGCGTGCCGGGCTTTCCTGCCGCGATGGATGAACTACGTTCTCTACGTATTTGCAGAGGTTGCCATCATTGCAACGGACATTGCTGAGGTGAGTTGCCACAGCTGCTAGGACTCCATTTCGACTCCTGCTGTTTTCCGATACTAAAGGACTTCGCTTACAGGTGATTGGCTTCGCGATTGGTCTGAACCTCCTTGTGCCGGCCATACCTCTGGTCGCAGGATGCGCAATCTCCATCTTGGACGTCATGATCATTCTCATCTTTTACCGACCCCACGGATCCATGAGAGGCCTGCGAATCTTTGAGTACTTCATCATCGGTCTGGTACTGGCAGTGGTTGTCTGCTTCTGTATCCAGCTCTCGCTCATCAAGGATACGCCGGTGGGAGAAGTCTTTCAGGGGTATCTGCCATCGCGTGCCGTGGTCGAGTCGCAAGGGTAATCTCCTCCTCGCCTCTCCCTTCCTCAGACTAGCTAGCACCTTGAGATATCTAATCGCACGCAGCTTATACCAAGCCTGCGGCATCCTAGGCGCAACAGTCATGCCGCACAGCCTCTACCTCGGCTCCGGCATCGTCCAAGCCCGTCTCCGAGAATACGACACGAAACACAACCTCCTGCCCCCCGAAATGGACGAAGTCGACCTCAACGGCGACAGCATCGACAAAGGCTACTACGTCCCCTCCGCCAAAGCAATCAAACACTCCCTCAAAACCTCGACCGCCGAGCTGAGCATCTCGCTCTTCACCTTTGCCCTATTCGTCAACTCGGCCATCCTCATCGTCGCGGGCGTTTCCTTGTACGGGAACCCCGAGGCGCCGGACGCGGACATCTTTAGCATCCACCAGCTCCTCACGGACTCGATTTCCAAGGCGGCGGGCACCATCTTTGCTCTCGCGCTGCTTCTCTCTGGCGTCTCGGCGGGGATCGTGTGTACTATTGCCGGGCAGATGGTCAGCGAGGGCGCCTTGAATTGGAGAGTCCGCCCTTGGCTGAGACGTCTGGCGACGCGGAGTATCAGCGTCACGCCGAGTATTGTGATTGCTGGCGCCGTGGGGCGAAAGGGCGTCAGCGAGGCGCTGAATGCTTCGCAGGTGGTGCTTAGTGTTGTCTTGCCGTTTGTTACGGCGCCGTTGATTTACTTTACCTGTAGGGATAAGTTCATGACTGTCCGGGATGGACCGGACGGCGGCGCTCGATTCAGGATCGGGGGCGGCGGCGGCAACGACGAAGAAGAGTCTGCGACGGCGCCTGCGGATGGGGCTGTCAAGATGGCGAATTCGTGGTATACTGCCGGCTTTGCGGTCTTGGTTTGGGTCATTATGGCGGCGATGAATGTTGCCAACTTGGTTCTGCTTGGAAAGGGCGAGTGAGTAAGTGAGTGAGTGAAGGAGCGGGAAACAGCAGTGTGCCCGGTGAGGGGCATTCCTGCTTTGAAGGTGACGCTGGTGTGTGGGCGGACACCCCAAAGTCGTCTGTCTCTGGTTTCCTTTTGACATGGCTTGATCTGTCTTTAATTTTTGACTTTTGTTTGGTTTTGTGCTCGATTTCATGATTTCCGTCGTTCTTTTGTTAGCTCTGATTAGACCACACTCTTCAACCAGTGTATTTTGGTCACGTTATTCAGGCGAGGTTCAACCCTCCATCATTGTAAAAAGTCATGCCTAAAAGAAAGGGACGAAGTACACAAGAAGAAAAAATTTTGCCTTCTAAAAAGAGAACTTGGAAACGAATAGGTCCTGTTAGTCAAATCCCGTGAGCAGTGATATTCTACTGTCAGTCTGCGGTTTCAGTCCAAAGTCTAGGGTCCACGTGCATTCAAAAAGTGACGCGTTATCGTCTGCTTGCGCGCAATATCGTGAAATTGGTAATCGACTTTGACAATCATGATAATGGGATTATGAGAGTGGCCTGACTAAAGTTATTATAAAGCTGCCAAGGAGGATATATTCCGAAGTCAGATATATCTACTCCGTCCTCGGAAAAGCCCCGCAATATCGGATCGGCTCGAGTCAGGCGCTACAATAGTCTAAGGTGCTCCTCATGTACAGGAATATAGTTTCCGCTATCTTATGACGTCGGGGTTCATTGTCCGCGCAAGATGGCTTGCCTACCCTTTTTCTATTAAAATAGCTGTCGAATTGAGAGTCAAATAACCGAATGCCATTGTCATTGCCATTGACTACAACTCCTTTCGACTGAATCATATCTACAAAGTCCTGACCTTGAACGGCCCGCAAAACACTACTGACATGTCTCATCTCAAGTATCATTCCTACGAAGGTGTAGGCCAGAGGAATCTCGAGGGTTTCAGCTACAACCAGGCGGTAAGGATGGGCGACCGCATCGAATGCTCTGGTCAAGGTAGGTCGTGTTGCCAATAGACCTCTCAATGCTAAGCTAGTGAGCACATACTAATACGGGACTCAGGCGGGTGGGACCCCAAGACGGGCGAGTTTTACAAGGAAATCAATGCCCAAATCGATCAAGCATTCGCTAATGTGGATCTCAACCTCAAGGATGCTGGCGGAGCAGGCTGGGAACAGGTGTTCCGGGTCAACTCGTACCATGTGCCGATCAACGACGAAGCTTTGGCGGCCATGGTAAGGAACTTTAGAAAGTGGATGCCGAACCACAAGCCGATTTGGATGTGTGTGGGAGTGCCGAGGCTTGGTGAGGACGACATGCGTGTTGAGATTGAGGTTGTCGCTCACGTCCCGGAAGGAGCCTCGAAGGCATAGATACTTGGATTGGTTGAGTTTAAAATCAGCCGTAGCCAACATACATCATGAGGAACAATCAAGTCACGACAGTACACCACACATGGTGGAAACAAATACCAGAGAAGAGAGAAAGTGTAATAAATGTCCCGAAATGTCATATTCCCATTATTGTATAAGGTCAGGTAATCTTGTCACAAGATCCCAGTATCCGTTAAACGCCAATCACACCGAGCGGGTTCCAAAGGCGATGTACTCAGCCAGTGGGGTATAGTCGCTTTAATACATCATTTATGCCTTGCCAGCCTGAACCAGGAGAGCAGCGTGCTGCTCGGGGTGGGTCTTCTCGACGTTGCCCTTGGCCATCTTCTTCATGAGCATGTTGGCCTCAATGTCGACCTCCTCGCGGAGGATGAGACCAGCGGCCTCGTTAACAATACGCCACTTGCCGGTGATGACGAGGGTTCCGACGGGGGGCTTGGCGTTGACGAGGGTGTCGACACCGTCCTCGATGTTGGTGATGGTAAGTTGGTAGGTGGTCTGGCCGATGGGCTTCTTGTCGGTGACGGAGTAGGTGGCGGACTGGCCGACGCCGACGGAGCCGGACTCCAGGTTGTAGGAGATGAGAGCCGGACAGAGGGTCTTGACCATCAGGTCGTGGTTGTGGATGGCGGAGAGGACGGCGTTGCGGTCAACGCCGGCGGGGACGGGAGTGGAGACGACGGTGGAAGGCATTTTGGCGGGGGTTCGAAAATTGGGTATCGTGAAGAAGTGAGTATGTTTAGTTGCTGGCTGTTGTATGTAATGAGAGGCGAGGCTGATGATGCACGATTACCAAAGACCAGCAGGAACCTTCTTATAGATGTCTCTACTTCCCCTTAGCTCAGGCCGACAAACTCTGCTATTTCGGACGGTTGGAGGTTTCCATACCTCGCAACCCCGTCAGCACCCCCTTGTCCCCCTATACTTTCTTCATCCTTAACTCTGAATCCCACCCCCGGAGCCCCCAAGTCCTCAAGTGGCTGAACCGACCGTTTGCGCCGCTGACGGTTCAGGGCGGTGTAGTTCGTGGAGACGAGTAGCAGGAGACGCAGGCAGGGAGGCTAAGTGGCACCGGACCGGCCGTGCCCCGACCGTGCTCCCGCCGAGCCGGACGTTGGAGCATGACGCTAGGAGACCTCGATGCTGCACGCTAGCGGGCTCGGGTTTTGTTTGTTCTTTCAGGGGCCCAGGGGAAGAGGAGGCGGGCATCCGTGGAGAAGTCCGTGGGGGGCACTGGACTTACGCCGGTAAGATTTACAGATTCTTTGATATTGGTATGAAAGACAGAGGGATTCTATTCGGTGTAATAGAAAAAATGGTGCTAAGAGAAGAAAATAGTAAACAGATGTCTCGGCGGACATGTTTTCTTGGAAAGGTTTCAACCAGAAAACCATGTCCCGTTAACCTTGGCTCAGCTGTGCTGGCCCTCGCTGTTTGCGTTTGGTCCCGAAGCTTTGGACGCGAGGCACCACCTTTCCGACTGCAGCGCGCAACATACCCATCACCCAGGTGTTCGTCCGAGACATGCATCTTGTCGCATAAGAGCCGTAGTTACGCGTGTCTCTGGAGACTACTCTCCGCATCCCAACCACACGGCCTGCGCACTCGAGCGGTAGCCCTGCTTGGCACCTGCGCAAGCTTGGAGATTACTTGAGACCTTCAAACCCCTAATTTCGTCTCAACCACAACAAAGAGAGGCTCGCGCTTGCTAGATCAACCATGATAGACTAGTTGGAACAAAAGGTGAGGCTTAAAATACTCCCAGCCTGCTTCATCGTTAAGAGGAAACAGCCTCCTTCGCTCTTAATAGTAATACCGTTTTGCGGCGTAAGCCGCTTGACAGCCATCAGGTAGGGATCGTCGCGGGCCGAGATTACACGTACTGGATCTCTGCAAGTAAGCGCAGAGTCTTCCCCCCGAAGACATCGAGAATTCACCAATCAATTGCCCCCAAATCCAGTCTTCAAAACAGCCGTCCGAGTGTCCACGTAAGGCAAGACGTTGTTATGATCGACATTATGGCTAGTTCACTGCGCCGAGGGTGTGCTTGGTGTGGCGTCGGTGCGTTCCACGCGCGCTAAAACGCAGACCTGCTGTCTGTCCGTGTCTCTCGGTCATGGCGCTGACGGTTGCACCTCATTATTGTGGAAGCGAATGTTGATTTCGGGGCGTCGCGAGTGAGTATCAATGTCACTGACTGAGCCGCGTCGTCAACATGCGCTTCAAGGTAAGGCTCAGGTTCTGGACTGGTACGCTCTGAAGGATCGGGGATGCGATAGAGCCTACATGTTCATCAGAGAAACGGTAATCCTTCACTCTAGGTCACCCATTGTTCATGCGTACTGAGAATTTGAAATTGGCGACAAATCAGAGCATCAGATCATACAAGAAGCATTGAAATCCTGCCCCTACCAAGACGGGAGTAACCAAGTCGGTGGCCCGGCATAAGATGAACTGACACGGCGCTGATCCGCACGGGGATCCTCTCTGACTTCTATTTTGGGTTTCCCGCGATCTGATCTCCGGGCCAAGGCCGGAGGTGGTCTTATTCTCGGACTGGGGACTTCATGTCTCTTACATAGGCAATCCCTTTTTTGTTATTGCATTTACCAAGCCAGCAGGTATTCAAAGCCAGAGCTTCTCGTGCCGTTCTCACCAACACGAAGAGCTTACAGGCTTTTACTTCTTTCTTGCCAGTAGGATTCCATCAAGATTCGCTGGCCGTGGCGGCCCCACCCGGGGAGAAGATCAAAGCGTACACTTCCGGCCACGCCTGAAAACCTCAATAATAGTATGGGAGACTTTGGAGACGAGAAATGGTCTCTGTCAAAGAACAAGAATTGCTGCATCCACTATGATATGTCTTCTACTGTGTACACCTCGACGCTCTGCAACAAAAACCAACTCAAGAGCCGTGAAAAATACTCGTGCCATGACGCAGAGGGCGGAATATGAATTCCTCCCCCGCTCCTTAGTCATCCACTGGTTCAAGTCCATGTGATAAGCCCCGCCCTTGACCACAAGTCTTTGGGGTGTTGTCGTGCGGACAAGAGAAGCTGCGAAACGCGAAACTATTACCAAGTGCCCACCGTTGTGCTTCCGACTTTCCACATTGTCCCAAAATCGAAGGTGACCGCGGGCTTTCTCAGAGGAAGGATTATATCAGCCGTTAGGATAGGACCCTTGCCATCCTTCTCTCTTGCTGCCCCCCCCCACCTCCTCCTTCGCTGCTATGCCCCAAGCGTCGTCGGAGCGGGCCGCAAGCCAGCCGAAGCGCAGGTACACGTCAAAGGCCTGTGAGGAGTGTCGGCGCCGGAGGGCAAAGGTGGGTGGAATATATTTTCCTTCTGGTCGATCAGCCCACCACACACCTTTGGGAACCAGCACAGTCTATACTCGTATAGTAATACTCGTAGTGACAAACGAGTGTTGATCTGGTTTTATGTTTGTCATAATACTGACTGAAAGGTGCCAATTCTTTTAGTGTGACGGACTACGGCCCATCTGCGGCCGGTGTTCCGAACGTTCCATCAACTGTCTCTACAGGAGTGAAGAGGATGGTCGCAAACCTGCTTCCAAGACATATGTGCAACTTTTGAGAAACCGGATCGACCTACTGGAAGCCGTGTTACAGTCCCACACCATCGATGTCGAGGCAGCCGTCGCCCAGCTCTCAGCGGCCGGGACAGCACCACAACTATCGTCCATCGCGAGTACGTTAGCAACTGGTAGCGATGCTGGACTCAGCGCCTCGGCCTTTGACGATCTCTGTGCGACCTTTGAAGGAGCTCTTTCTCTGGATGAATCGGTCAACTATGACCAGGATGGAGAGATGCGATATTTCGGTCCAGCGAGCGGTCGCTTGGAGTTCCAGAGTGGTACGTATCGGGTGATTAGTCTTAGCCCGGCCGGGGTGGTTATTGACCAGCCTGTAGAATCTACGTCAGAGTCCGACGATCATGCTAGTCCGTTGACATCCAAGTCCATGGAGACAAATCGCTACATCCTCCCTCTGGAGGCAGACGTCTACCCAGAGGATCTCACAACAGAGCTCATAGACCTGTTCTTTGAGTATCAAAATCCCTGGTGTCAAGTCGTCGACGAAAAGCTATTCAGGGAGAGCATGAAGACGCAAGGCCGCTTCTTCAGCCCATGTTTACTCAACTGCATTCTTGCTCTAGGATCACGCTATTCCGATAGAATCGACACCCGCTCCATCCCAGAAGACCAAAATACAGCCGGCAAAATCTTTCTTCAAAAGGCCGAAGTGCTCTTGCATTATGATATGAAACGACCGACCATCACGACGATTCAGTCAATATCCCTCCTAGTCGGGGTCTATGTGGTACGTTTTGGAAGAGACAGATATCACAGTTTCTTGTGCTAACTACAGAAAGTCTTACGGATGTGATGCTGCCGGATGGTTACATCAAGGAATGGCGAATCGACTGGCTCTAGATATGGGTCTCAACCTCGACGCATCTTCGTTGTCTGGCACGTGCCACATGTCCAATGAAGAGGTAGAGCTGAGACGACAGATTTACTGGGCACTATATTGCGACGACAAGCTCGCGGCCATCTACACGGGGCGAGTATGCAGTCTTTTGGTAAGCTCTACCTACCGAGTTACATATGCCAATGGTAATGAAAGGACTCCCTGTATTGAATTACATAGGATGTCCAAGGCGCTGTCCATCTTCCATCGACATACACACCAGAACAAATGAGAGCAGGAGCAAACGACTCACACGACGTAAATCGATGCAACAAAAAGGTCCTCGTACAACGCGGTCTAATAGGCCTCTGTCGAATCCTCGAAAACATCCTCCTGGCTCTGTACGCCACGCAACCAACTATCCTACCATCTCCCCCCTTCCCTAAACGGAACTAACAAAAGGCTCCTCAGATACGCTCCAAAACCACTCTACAAAGGCCCCCAAAGGATATCCTTCCTCCAATCCTGCACCCTCGAGCTCAAAACCTGGTTCTACGAACTCCCCGCCGACCTCCGCATCGACAAACACAACGACCTCCCGCAAGTCTACACCCTCCACATGGTCTACCACACCTGCTGCATCCTCCTCTTCAAGCCCTTCCTCCTCAAATCCAAAGACACCCCCGCCGCCCTCAAGACCGACACGGCGAAGCGCGCAGAGGTCCTCTGCATCGAGTCGGCGAAACGAATCTGCCACGCGGGGAAAAAATACCGCCAGGTCTACGGCTCGTTCCGGCGCAGCCCCATTTCCGCCACGCACTGCACGCTTACCGCGGCGCTGGTGCTGATTCAGTACGCGAGCCCTGATCCGGAGTTTGCGAATACGGGGAGGCCGTGTTGTACCGTCTACATCGAAGCATGCCTCGAAGTCCTAGCGGAACTAGGCATCTCCTGGCGTCCCGCCGCCAAGATGCGATGCGATCTCATAAAGTACCTGTACCAAAAGTACCCGGAGCGGATACCAAACTCCATTCTGCAGCAGCAAGGCGCCCGCAGGGATCCGGACCCGGATCCGACGGCGTCGGTGGGGGTCGAAAGGGACATGGACGGCGCGGCGGCGCCGAGTTCTGCGCAGCCGCAGCAGACGCTGGAGCAGAACCTGTGTCCCCTGATGAACATGATTGACCAAGATTTCGCGTGGGATGCGTCCAGCGCGGCTGATCAGGCGCTTCAGGGGGCGTTGCTGAGTAACGGCGGGTCGGAGTCGGCTTTCAACACGCAGTTTGCGCTGGCGGAATCTATTAGTGAGCTCGGGGAGCAGAACGGGCTGAGTTTCATGGACGATAGCTTTTGGGCGGGGATGAATTTTGATGTAAATTTCGAAGCACAAAATCCATGACGGGGATTGGCTGTGGAAGTATTTACCTTGATAAGCGTATGGTTTTGATCATATCATTACCTTACTAGATATTATATCCTTACTTTCGGAGGTTTAAATCCAGAATGGAAAGCAACTTGAAGGATCTTGCGTTGATATCGGTGTGTTCGTTGTGGGGTATTGGTTTGAAAACACACCGTTGATAAAGAACGACGGGGCTTTATAGATGCTTTGTTTCTCAGTGGAACTGGTACATCATTCGGGTGACTAATCTAAAACTCTGGCCTTGGGAGTTGCAATTTGAGGCAAGTTCAAATGTCTTGTCATTTGTTTATTCTCCCGTCAATTACAGCATTGCAGAAGTACATTCAAGTGCGTCGTAGTTGAGGTAACGACCCCAAGGGGCTAGTCCGATCCTTTGCCCGTTATTGCATTTAATCAAACACCTTCGACTCAGACGTAATCTAGAGAAAATATGGAGATGTATCTATTGTCGCCAGTCCGTAGTTGATGGGATATGTTCAACTATGGTTCGTCCAATAGTATTGTCAACCACAGGATTACACATACATTCTCTGGTAAGGGACAAGGTTGTGATCTTGATAATAAGTACATCATCTCTAATTATTCCAAGACGATGGCATAAACGAGACAACGGTATTAACCTACGCTGTATCTTCTTGGCTTACCTAACGTAAAGAGGCTTTATAACAGAGTTGCTTGACACACCCGTTTATTAACATCATAATTCCCGTGTTAATTGTAACTCGACGCACCGTCCCAAAGAAAAGTTCTCTTGACACAGTACGTATTGATTATGTCTATACTATCTTCGGGAATCATAATGCCCGACGCTGCCCGAGTCCCTTTCTCAAAGTGAATCCTCGCCCGCTACGGCAGGCTAATTCGCACCCAGGCTTTTTTACCCCGCAAAGCTTGATTCACCTGAGATAAGTAAGTAGTTTACAGGTGAAACAGATCACATTCGTTTGTGGACTTGAGCGCGTTCCCATTCATGCATTGCGAGAAACCTTTTCTGCGGGCCATATCAATTCCCCCTCATACACGAACACGAGTATTACTATTTGTCAAGGATCTCGAGTATCTCAACGATAGCGATGAGTAGTTCGACACAGAGTACCAGACCAACTAACCAACCTTCACCATGTCTCACATCCACATCAAATTGGATCAAATAAATCATGGGTATGAATGAATTCCCTTACATACAACACTCCTATGAGCATTACGTGAACCAAACATTAAGCCAACGCGTATAAGCGCCCGCAAGTGAACCCCATCAATCCAATATCCATCAACAGTAAGATACGTGACCCTTCCAACCATGATTAGCAAAGACCCAAGGAACTTTTCCAAACCCCAAGGCTACCCTGATAGGTAGATGCAATGCGTCCCGCTCTCCTCCTTGTGCTGAAGACCGGGTCCGTTTCGGCTCCCCATAATAATGAGTGCGACCACCTAGGGACTTTACAAGCCGTTGCTAGGTCCCGCACCTCCAATGTGTCCGTGATCTCCGTCGTGGCTGCCGACAGGGCGGTTCTTGGGCGCACCAGGCTCACGAATGTGAAGTCCCAGAGCGGTGGGATCAATGTTCCTGTGTCCCCATAGCAGAAGGAAACCGAAACCAGGCTTCGCAAGGACGTCCAGGATACCATAGAAGACAGCCTCGGAGTCGGGATGAATCAGGTTACCGCCCTCGGCAACGCCCCACGCAATGGGATACAGGAACCACAAGAAGATGGTGAGCACGCCGCAGTTGCGATACGTGGAGCTGACCTGACCACCAAGTGCACCAGCGTGCTTTCGTCCGTCAACCACAAGCGCGTAGACGACATAGAAGAAGGCAAACATGCCAAACACCCAGTAACCCCACTTGTAGCTCGTGCTTGTGAGGGCGCCGACCAGACCCGTAACAATCATGATCTCATCCGCGAGGAGGGCAATCATGATGCTAGGCCAGGGCATACCGGCGGTGAGAAGCAGATCCAGAAGCAGCAGCGGCGTGGTGATGAACCAATCGATGTACCGCACGTAGTAAATCTCGCGTGTGCCGGCGCCGCCAACCTGGCTGTTGTGGCGGGGGAATTCAACTTGGATGGGCACCTGGCCCAGCCCGGCGCCCATGGAGAAGTATGCTATGCAAGCAACGAAGGTAATGGTGGCGGTGATGTAGTGGAAGATGCGGTGCGTCTCTCGCTTGGCGAAACCCATTCCCAGGAAAACAAGAGTGGAAAATGCCATGATAGCACAGATGGCAAAGTACCAGTCAGAAGCCCGGGCAGAGATGCCCAGGTCGGCTCGCTGGCCAACGCGGGAGTTGGTGTTGAGAGCGTCGTTCGCCATTGTAAGTGTAGTTCGCAGCTCGGTTTCCTATGTCGATTGAAGACGGGTGAGAAACTTTGAGCGAGACGCTGCTGGTTTTGTACGCCTAGGTGTTGGCAGTAGATGTAAAGCTGCTGTGGTCTACTAATTTGGCATCATAACGAGGGGGCTTCTACTTGCCATATATCTTCATCTGTTGTCCTCGGCCAACATCAGATTTAGGCCCGAGCTAACACGATCCCAAAAGCCCCTGCCGGTTGATCCGCATCTAGCCATGTCGGATGACTTCACCCAGGTGAAGAGGGGACAGGGACAGGTAGTATTGAGATTTCCATGAGCTCTGGATGACGTTTAGACTCGAAACACCAACCTACCGCAACATGCAGACGATAGGCTAGTCGTCGACGCGAGGACACCATCGCGATGGAGGAGTAGCTTCGCCGTAGCCCAAACAGCGCGACACCCTCGCAGGTGAGACTAGGCTAGCACCGGCCATTGGGCCAAGACGGGCGCTATGGTATTCCAAGCTCGAGCCGTCCCTGTCAACCGTGTCAACCGTCCAGAAACGACTGCAACGCAAAGGGATTCTGTCACTCGTCCTTCAGCCTGGAAGCGGGGTCAGGCGAATGAGATCAAATGAGTTGTGAACTTTCTCCCCGCGCAAATCCTTGACGAGTCCATGACGGCTAGAGGCTGTAAACCCTGGTTGTCATGTCAGGCTGGAGGCGGAGAATTTCTCCGCGCCAGAACGAAAACGACCCATTTTCAAAGTAATTCACTCAGTGCGACTAGGGAATGATTTGAAAATAGTTTTTCGAAGTAGGGCGACTGTGACAAAGTTCCGACGTAGGCATGTAAGGCGGTTGGCGCAACAAGAAAGGATTCGAGGTCGATGAAGTCACCACTTTTGCCGGCTTCTAGACCGGAAGCTGCCGAGTGGTATTCCCGGCCCCACTAAGCCGGAGCTAGCGCCGGCAAGTGATTTGATGTCTGCAGCGCAAAGCCCGAACGACTTGGCAGCAGACAGGACAGCAGGTCTAGCCCGTCCAGCTTCCCTTCGAACTAACACTTCAACGGCTGGCAAGGCATCACTAGCTTTCTTCTAGAGGTAGCCGTAGGCAAGAAAACATATTTGGCTTCTGCTTGGTTTGCCGATCGCCAAGCTGTGTGCGCGATCTGTCTCATGTCCACGATTTCTGCCACCCTTGTGTCAAAACAGGTCTGGTGACCATGTGCTGCACAGTCGTGGTTCCCACTAAGTTGCAGATCTCTTCGAGCCGAACTTACAGGCGAAGTCTCTTTGGCGAGTTTGGCGGCCGCAGTGTGTCGTGTAGGCATTGGCAAATCGCATTCCGTTGAGTGATTGCCATAGCTGTAGCTAAGCTTGAGTAGAAGGTCGGCAAGCTTGCGGCATGTCTCCACGCGTCCAACCTTACCCGGGCCAGAATTGTTTGCGTAGGCGACCGGGACCGCGTACTAGAGTCTAGGAGGGAGAAAGGCGGCGTCCTGAGCACTTCCGAGCTTCCGAGTCCCTCGTCGTCTGATGTCGTCATTAACCCAGAATCAATTGATGGGCAGTCTGTCGGCAGTTCGAGCACGGATGGGGACGGTGGTCCAATGTTCGAGCGTAACCAGGAAATCATCCCGGCCAACGTCGGGCCAGGCGATACAACCCACCTTCAACCGTGCCTTGAATTCTGAAGTTCGATCAGCCGTTCCTGAACTCTAGGCAGCTTCGCAAAAGATAATTCAGACCTGCCGCCTGAACCCGCTGGTCAATATCGCCAGCCTGATTTCACCCTTCAGCGCTGAGGCTGAGGCTACATGTTGTTGATAGACAATACCTCACGTACCTTAGCTAGGCAACGTCATCTCCACATGCAAAGATGAGAGACGAATGCCAGGGAAGCGAGGATGCTCGCCATCCGTGAGTTCACCTGTCTTGCTTGTTTTGCTCACATCTGATCACTGACCGCTTCCTCATGTAGTTACCTATCAGGGAACTTTGCGCCGATTCAATCATGTCTCCCCTTGACTCCCTGCACTCACGAAGGCACGATACCTTCTGATCTCGCAGGAGGCCAATATGTCCGCAACGGCGGCAACCCGGTGACGAATGATGATGCGAGCCGAGCGGCGCACTGGTTCGATGGGGATGGTATGTTGAGTGGTGTTCTCTTCCGCCGGGCAGGCGAAAAGAACACCTCGATTCAGCCAGAATTCGTGAATCAATACCTCTTGACCGACGTCTATTGCCACGCAAAGACCAACAAGTACCTGCGCCGACCAGTCGTGCCGAGCATTGCGACGCTGGTAGATCCGGCCGTGAGCATGTTCCGCATCATGTTCGAGGTTTTCCGAACCGTGTTTCTGGTCTTCCTCTCGCGACTCCCAGGGTTTGGTCGTCCTGTTAAGAAGATTAGCGTTGCCAACACCAGTGTTCTATTTCACAATGGAAGAGCGTTGGCGACGTGCGAAAGCGGCCCCCCTCTCAGATTCGCGTTGCCGAGTTTGGAGACTATTGGTTGGTTCAACGGAAGAACTGCAGAAAACGAACCACTGCAAAGCGCTGAGAGTGGCTTTGGGGGTACAGGCATCGTATCCTTCATGAGAGAGTGGACCACGGCCCATCCGCGAGTTGACCCGGTGACGAAGGAACTCATTACGTTCCACGCGACATTCGTCCAGCCATTTGTGCGTTACTCCGTGGTGCCACCGACGACAAAGTCCGGGACTGGCCGCTCTCCGGTGTTCGACCTACCGGTTCCGGGAGTCGAGTCGCCGAAGATGATGCACGACTTCGGGGTATCAAGGCACCACACCATCATCATGGACCTACCGCTGTCGCTGGACACCATGAACCTGATTCGCGGAGTTCCAAGCTTGTCGTACGATTCGGCCGGGAAGTCACGCTTCGGAGTCTTTCCACGACACCAACCGAACGCCGTTCAATGGTTCGAGACCAACCCTTGTACTATCTTCCACACCGCCAACTGCTGGGACTCGGTTTCACCGCAGGCAGACATCAATGGTCCTCGTGTGTCGGTCAATCTCGTGGCCTGCCGACTCACTTCCGCGTCCATGGTGTTCAGCGCCGGCAATCTTCCTACGCCAGAGGTGAAGCCAGTGCCTCCCGAGTACGCCGAGGAGGAGCAGTGCCGGTTGTACTACTACAGCTTCCCACTGTCGGATATCGCCGGGATCCAATATAACATCAGACACCAGTGGGCTTTGTCGGCCATCTCCTTGGAGTTCCCGTCTGTCGCACCGGCGTACTCGATGCAGGAAGCTCGATACGTTTACGGATGCTCGACTGGCGAGGCATCTTATACAGTCGCCCTTGGCAAAGCTGCAAAGATCGACCACTTGGCCAAGTTCGACGTTCGAACGCTGATAGCACGAGGCATCGCACAACCACCGCAGCCTGTCAAAGGCTGCGTCGACACACGGAGCATATCCCAGGTTATGGAGAGCCGGGACCCTCAGGATCCCATCAAGCTCTTCCGAATGCCTGTCGGGTGGTATGTGCAAGAGCCACGATTTGTGCCTCGCCGTGAACCAGACTCCGAGGACGACGGATGGTTATTAACATATGTGTTCAACGAAGCTCAGCTTGACGACCAAGGCGAATGTGTGCCCAACGCTGCGAGTGAGTTGTGGATAATCGACGCGAAAGAAATGAAGAAGATCGTGGCCCGAATCAGATTGCCGCAGCGCGTACCGTATGGATTGCATGGTACCTGGTTTAGCGAACAGGAGATTGACGAGCAAAAGCCATTCGAGAGAGTAAGGACTCTGGCTTCATAATAATTTTTAGCATAGGAAAACTTCTTTTGAGGGCGGTTGAAGGGATACTGGGCCTGTCTAATTAGCGGGTGGAAATTTTCTTCATGATACCATGTGATTTCTGGCAAACAGAGAAGGATTGGTGTGCATTTGTAGATAATACGGCACCTGGCCCAACTCAATGACAAGTAATCTGATTGACGAGTAATCCGAATGTGTGTAAGAGGTGGGACTTGACGAGGCCGGAAATCGGAATCGTCGTTCGGCGGTTCGTCGCCTTCGTATACGTGTCGCGAACCGGGGTGAGAGAACGAATCGTCGTCTCTTTGATCGGAACGCGTCAAGGAGGGCGTTATGCTTCGGAGTGGCCTTTGCGTTGGGTCCAATGGCCGAATGCTTCGGTGAACGATAAGACAGAATCACGTCGTCCAGGTTGGATGTGGCATCCAATTCTCTACCCGCGACTGGCCACATCGACAACGGCCTAGGGGCAAATTCCGCCCGTAGGCTAAGTCGTAGTAGCTAGCAGACGCAAAGTCAGCAAGATTCAGGTTGTCTTACCCACCAGCCAGTCGCTCGCTAGTCACACCGACGCTGTGTGCCCACCTGGCACCATGGCATTACGGCACAACCACCCCGAACGGAAACCTGCGTCGGCAGCACTGAGGTGGCAGCCTTTGGGGGCTGTTGGAGGCTGGACCTTGCTCCTCAACGCTTCCCGCGGTGCGCTTTGGGGCCGCATTGCGCCTTGCGCTCCATGCCACAGGTTCGCTGCCCAGCGCCCCGGAACCCGCCCCCCTTCGCTTCTCCTCCCTGGCCCCGGGCTGCAAATCCCCCTCATCAAGAGCATGTTGAGGCTCACGGGCGGGAAACGCGTCAATCTCAACGACATCCGTTTCTGTAGCCGCCAACGACTATTTTCGCTACGATATCTTCCGGCGATATTTCTTGGATTTTGGGACAATCTGGCGATGCCCAGACATGTGGTGAGCGCCGAGAAATGACCCCGCAGGGCAGTCAGTGCTGAAGGGCGTCGACGGTCAGTCAAGGGATGGCGAGTGTTCGGCGTCCAAATTTCATCTTTTGGGCTCCGAGATTGTGAGGTAGACCAACTTCCAAGACCATCCCGAGCCATCGTGTGTGTCATGGCTCGCCGTAGACATTGCTCCCCCGCGTCTTCCTGGGCGAGATACTTTCTACCCCTCTTCTTCCCCCAGGTTCCCCGGCATTTGGATGGGCCCCTGGTTCGTGTCGGTGCAGCGTATGCGGTCCCATATGCCTTTTTTGACCTCCAGAGATGTTTCCATTCCCAAGTGTCCGAGACTTTTAGAGAGGGCTGGCCAAGGGTTGGCAGCATGGAGGGCCCCCACACTTGCATCTGGCGGCAGACAGATCTAAGGTCCGTACCGGGGGACAGGGCCGTCGGATTGGTGCAAAAGTTTGGGGCAGTTAAGCTTAGCAAATGCCAAACGGGGCTGCTGCAAGGTGTGGTTGTAACTTGTCCAAAGCGATGGGCTAGAGCGAACTGGTCGATACGTGGCAGCAATTGCCGGGCGTTTGCGAACAGTGTCCCAGGCATGGCGTGTACATTGCTCAAACTTGGCCGTCCTCCGCTCCTTGATAGATGGATAGTTTTCGTAGAGCGGAGTGGCTGCTCATGCTGTCATGTGAACTTGGAAGTGTAAGAGGATTGAGGATTGCTATGCAGGCTCGTCTCGGCGTAGCACATTGGCCAAGAAGAGGTCCACTGCGCCGACAACGTCTGAGCTGCTGGCGTCGGTTGGTGCTGTCGAGACTCCAGAAGAGAATCCGTATCTCGATGCACATTTGGGCAATTGGACTCAAGCAAGCACAGGCTCCTCGGCTCTGATAGCCACAACGAAATTGAGAGAAATGCATATTTTTTTGGCGTTTAGCATTCGGCGTTTGAAGTTCGGGAGTGCAAGTCGACGCGGGAGTGGTCCCACACGTGACACTGCAGACCACGTACGCGCCTCTAGAGTTTGGAACTGTGTGTACGCCGTACAGGGTATTGTGTAGGTCTGCGCAGAAGTCGGGAGGAGAAGAAATGACTGATTCTAGCGGTGTTTGGAAACGCAAGGTCAGCAACCGATCCTACAGGCCTGCGAAGTATCCGTCTAGCCAGGTCCCTGAGGTTGGGGCATGGTGTGTGTCGGGATAAGGCTTGCCATGCTCTGCTCACCTACCACTATGGGAGGAGAGGTGGATGTGGGATTGCGCGATTGGCCATCGGCTTCGATAGGCCTCGGAAGGACCACGCAGCGCCAGCAATTGAGAACGTCAATCCAACCAGCATCTGGGTTTGGTTCCTCCATGGCACTGGCCCGCAGAAACTGTGGGCATCTGGACGTTGTTTGGAGTTTTTAGCGTGGCCCCGTCTTTGTTGGAAACAACTCAGTGATAGAAGACGTGGACAATCGAACAGCTTGAGCTGATGAAAGCACAGTCAAGCGAAGCGAGGCGAATGCTGCTGTGAGGTTGGTATATCCGTAAAGGTCGGAGATGGAAAGCAAGGCACGTGGACTCGACTTCTTGGTATGATGTAAGGTACCTTACTCCGTAAATATTGGTGTCTATCAGAGGATACGATGAGGAAAGGTGAAGCTTGGCGGAACATGCTGCGAGTCTGCGAGTCTGCGACAGCGACTGCGAGAGGCCGTCGCAAGGTTTGCAAGGATAGCCCTTCGTCTGTCCATTAATGTCTGGTCTGGTGGGGGAGCAACGAATGTCATCTGATGTCTCTTTGAACAAGGCACATTTTGGGGGTCCAATGAAGCGCGTAAAGGAAGTAAAGGAAGGGGGGGGAAAGTGCATGATTCGGATAGAGGGAAGAATATCCGCAGATAAGCGCACAAAAGTGTTGGACGAGAAAGAGCAACTGCCAACGAGACATTCAATTGGCAAGATGCAGTTCAAGTTGCAATTTGCAAGGCATTGCTTCCTTCCTTCTTCTCGAACGGAATCAGAGTGGTGGGGCTGGTGGCACTAGCGCAGCTTGCCAAGAGCCGCGTGCCATTTGACCAATTGAATGGCTCAAATATGCAGGGATTGTATTGGCAGTGATCACAGCCGTGGAAGGCAACGGTGGGACGCAGATGAACCGTATCATTGCGTGCTTGTATCCAAGACCAGGTAAGGTACTCCGTACCTGAGCAGAAGCGTCTATCTTACCTTAGTCTACGACTGACAAGATTGACAGGCAGAGACTCTTGAGCCTGGACTGATAGTCTGGACGACCAAGACTTAGATGGCTCTTGGCCTTGGACAAAGTGAACAAACACAAGCAGACGGTTTGGATGAAGGGTTTGCACAGCCACGCTGGTCATGGTGGCCGCCCCTATCAGCAATCAGCTGGCCAGAAACGGCCCCGACATCCCAGCCACTTGCCGGAGTCATGATTGGACGGCGGGTTCCCTCCTTCCCTGATGACGACGACCAGCCCGCGCTGGGCGGACATCGGTGCTCCTTGGCGGCGCCGCTGCGTTGCTTCTCCACCCCGGCCCTGCGCATTCCCATCGTCAGCACCGTTTCTCGTCTTGCCTTCAGAGAGGTAGGTACACTACGGATACGGAGTACGCTTTCAAGGTGTCCTCATGATTGCGCATTGCCTGATCTGACGCTACAGCGGACCTTGTAGCGATTGTCACTATGCTTATAGGGGCTGTGACAGCGATGCGTCACACACACAATATCGCTGCGGATTGCGCAGTCGTTCAGCCATTGTTAGTAGTCGGACCAGTGAGCTGGATTGCACCGTTTCGACAGTTTCGCCGGCACGAGACCGCTGGTGTACACGGCGGCGCTGACGGCGACACGACTGACTGGGGGAGGCTCGTCTTGGCAACTGCTCACTTGTCGTTGTTTCCGCCGCTTCGAGTCTGAGTGCTTTCCCATTCTTGTTCAATTTGGCCTGACAGTCCCGTCAGTCTGGCAGCCGGTTTCTTGTGGTGGCACTTGCCTGGGCAGTCGTCAATAATTTGGAACCTAGGTATCTGTATGTAAGTCCCTTTTGGAACTGGAAATGGAATGGGAAGGAAACAGAACCATGAACAGCGTGCCTTCCCGTTGCTTGCACCTGCATCGCAACCATGGAAGGCAAGAGTATCCGTAAAAGTATCAGGTACCTTTCCTTCCCCTTTGGTTTGCCGCATCTGCATCCATAGACGTTCTTTTCGGTATACTCAGCCATCCCCCGCATCATCTTTGGTTCTTCTCGTTACGCCTTTCCCGTTTATCTTTTATCGTTTCTTCTGTCAAGCACCAACCTTGACGTCTCGTCTCCAGATGCAAGCCAGACACAACCGTCTTGAACACGTCTAACCTTGTCAGCTATTCCACGCCCCTGCGATTTGCCAAGCTTCCCGCCCACTTTGTCACTCAAAGTCCAACATATCATTGCTCAAGGTATACGTTACGTACCTGGCCCAAAGTGCCTATCTCTACAAGGCATACACTGCAGCTTTAATTGATATCAGGTAATAGAAGATACCTCACCTTCAACATCCCCCAATCCCTCTCCATGCAAGCCCTCCTCCCACCCTCTATTCAACTGTTGCATTCCTTCGTTCCGTCACTAACAATTGCGGTTCTACCTTAGCTCATTACGGACACGATACGAACGCCTTACTGGCTCCATCTCCCCAGACAAAGTCCAAGACAGGCAGTCGCTCAACGGATGCGCTTCGGTCCTCACTTCTTCGGCCCATCCACTCCTGGTCCCGTTCGGTCGGAGCTATTTTCCCACCACCGTCCCGCGCCCGCGTTGCATCCCTCCTCCCACCCCAGTTCTCGGACGGTCAACTGCCAACTGGTAGTTTGGTCAGAGGTACCTCGCCCTCTCAGGTCAGTCTCTCTCTCTCTCTCTCTCTCTCTCTCTCTCTCTCTCTCTCTCTCTCTCGCTTTGTCTCGTCCGTTGCGGAGATACATCCAGATCTCCCATTACCCATCCCCTCCATTATCCATCCATCCTCCTCCAGGCTCCAGGCTTGGTCGTCTTTCCGGTACATACATCCACGCTCCCCTCCCTTGGCACGCATTCCACCCGCCACAAAAGTATAACTTAACGCTGTCTCCTAGCACACACCTCTTTTTCCCTTCTCTTCTTCATCACCAACCCCAAGCTCTTAGCTTGCCCGTTCTCTATTAACAAACTACTTTCCAAATCAATATCTGCAGGGCTTTACCAAAAGCACCAACACATACCATTCAACTCCCCCCCCCCAAAGCGAGCGTTTTAAGCCGTAACCTACCGATATCCGATGGGAGAACCCGAAGCCGTCAGGCATGGTGAACACAACACAGCTGCCGCGGAAGTCAACCCCGAGCAGGACGAGCCGCCGTCTATACCGCGGCCCCCGCCCATTCCCAATCCGGTCCCTCAGCGGCCTGCCCATTCGGTTCCTGTCACGGACATAGGTCTCTTCTGGCAGACCGATCTTGAAAATGGCCTCTCAAAGGCCGATGCTGCCGCCCGTCTTGGACGGGGCGGGCATAATCGTATCGAGGGCGCAAAGGGCTTATCCATTTGGGAGATTCTCTTGAGACAAATCTCCAACAGTCTGACTTTGGTTCTTGTCATCGTCATGATTCTGTCCTTTGCTATCCAAGATTACATTGAAGGAGGTGTCATCACCGCCGTTATCCTTCTTAACATCGTCGTGGGGTAAGTCACCATGTCTTCCGTCAATTTGTTTCTTGATGCCTTCTCCCAATACGCCGCCAGAACCGTGTTTTGCCTCGCACTATTATGCTTCCTTCAGCTTCCTCGTGCCTTGTCCACCGATTCCGGCATCCTCTTGAGTCGCTGCAATGCAAGGTTGGCTGCTCGCCTGATCACCGCGCCTCGGCTGGGTTGGGCGAGCGCTGACCGCTTCCGTGGCGCCCTGCCCACGAGTGTCTTGGCGAAGTGGCTCATCCCTACCCCTGCCACCAAGGCAACTCGTCCCACACACGGAAATCACACAACCCCTCGCTATCTCAACACTTTGACTCGCCTAGCATCCATGGCTAACATCTCTTCAGCTTTGTCCAGGACTACAATGCCGAACAGACCATCCAGAGTCTGTACGCGCTGTCCGCCCCGACGTGCAAGGTCGTCCGCGACGGAATCGCGGAGACCATCAAAGCCGAGACCTTGGTCAAAGGCGATCTTGTTATGATCGCTGTCGGCGATGTTGTTCCAGCCGACCTTCGCCTCCTCGAGGGAATTAACCTCTCCATCGATGAGGCCCTCCTAACTGGCGAGTCGCTGCCTATCAGCAAGCACCCCGAAGCACTCTTCGAGGAGGCTGATATCCCCCTCGGCGACCGTATCAACATGGTTTACTCGGCTACCACCGTCACTCGAGGACGCGCTCGCGGCATCGTCACCACCACTGGTATGGAAACCGAGGTGGGCAAGATCGCCATGATGCTTCGCACTACTCGTAAGAGAGATGAGAATGCCTCACTTCCTGCCCGTGCTCTCGCCCGTTTCAAGGCTGTTATGAAGAGCATCCTTGGTCTCGAGGGCACTCCTCTTCAGGTCAAGCTTAGCAAGTTCGCCCTCTTGCTATTCGGTCTGGCCATCTTGCTCGCCATCATCGTCTTCGCGGTCAGCAAGTTCGACATTGATGACCAGGTTCTCATCTATGGTATCTGCGTCGGTGTTGCCGTCATTCCCGAGTCCCTCATTGCCGTCCTCACCATCACTATGGCTGTTGGTACCAAAGCAATGGCGTCTGGAAACGTCATTGTTCGCAAGCTCTCCTCTCTCGAAGCCGTTGGTGGTGTCACCAACATCTGCTCCGACAAGACGGGTACGCTCACGCAGGGACGAATGATTACCAGAAAGATTTGGCTGGCCGAAGATACGACCGCCATTATCGAGGGCACTACAGACCCCTACGACCCTACTAGCGGCAAAGTGCGCTGGCCCGGATCGACCGCATCGAGCTCGGGCTCTAGTGGAGCGTCGACTCCTACGGCTGAGAAGTCTGACGACACTATCATCTCTTCTTCCTTTGGTTCCTTCCTCAAGGCTATTGCTCTATGCAACAACTCCGCCGTCACCGATGGCAAGGCCTCTACCGATACCGAGTCTATGACCACCGCCACTGAGGTGCCGGTGTCGTGGACCGCCATCGGCGAGCCCACCGAGATTGCTCTTCAGGTCTTTGCTATGCGATACGGCAAGGGAAAGACCGACCTCGTCTCGTCTGAAAAGACCAAGATGTTGTACGAGTTCCCCTTTGACTCCACTTGCAAGCTCATGAGTGTCGTTTACGAGTTTCCTGGTGCTCCCCGCCAGGTGTTCACCAAGGGCGCCGTCGAAGTAATGGTCGAGAAATTGGCCGAGACCGACGACGTCAAGCAGAGGATCGCGGCCAAGGCTGACGAGCTAGCCTCGGAGGGTCTCAGAGTCCTTTGCGTTGCTCAACGATTCCTGGAAGACACTGACAACGCTAGCGAGAGAAATGACACGGAGTGCAAGCTCCGCTTCCTGGGTCTCGCTGGCTTGTACGACCCCCCTCGTGTTGAGACTCTGGGAGCCGTCAAGAAGTGCAATACGGCTGGTATCTCGGTCCACATGGTCACCGGAGATCACATTAAGACTGCTACTGCTATTGCTCATGAGGTCGGTATTCTGCGTGGCGGCGAGCCGTCCACCGCAGTCATGGCCGCTGGACAATTCGACGCCATGACCGACGCCGAAGTTGACGCTCTTGAGGCGCTCCCTCTCGTGGTCGCTCGATGCAGCCCTATGACCAAGGTCAGAATGCTCGAGGCCATGCACCGTCGCAAGGCCTACTGTATCATGACTGGTGATGGTGTCAACGATTCGCCTGCTCTCAAGAAAGCCGATGTTGGTATTGCCATGGGCAAGAGAGGCAGTGACGTTTCCAAAGAGGCAGCGGACATGGTTCTCACCGATGACAACTTCGCCTCCATCGTTACCGCCATTAAGGAAGGGCGCCGCTTGTTTGACAACATTCAGAAGGTTTGCTTTCCACCCACATGTTCAATCGAGACACTGTTTTGACCGCGCTTGTAGTTCTTGCTTCATCTCCTGATTTCCAACATCTCCCAGGTCATCCTTCTCCTTATTGGTCTCTCTTTCAAGGATACAGATGGCATCTCCATCTTCCCACTGTCTCCTCTGGAGATTCTCTGGGTCAATCTTATCACTTCCTCATTCCTGGCTATCGGTCTTGGTCTGGAGGAGGCGCAACCCGATATCCTCCTGCGTGCACCTCACAGTCTCCGCATCGGTGTCTTCACCTGGGACTTGATCCGCGACAAGATGATTTACGGTTTCTTTATGGGCTCGCTCTGCTTGGCCGCGTTTACTTCCGTTGCGTACGGACCAGGCGCGGGCGATCTCGGCCAGCACTGCAACGACGGCTGGAACGACTCCTGTGACGTTGTCTTCAGGGCCCGATCCACCGTTTACGCCACCTTGAGCTTCCTGCTCCTGGTCACTGCCTGGGAGGTCAAGCACTTCCAGCGCAGCTTGTTCAACATGAACCCCGAATTATGGACCGGCCCTACTGCCGTGTTCAAGACCATCTTCAAGAACCGTTTCTTGTTCTGGGCCGTCGCCGGCGGCTTCATCATGACCTTCCCCGTCATCTACCTCCCTGTCGTCAACCGCGCTGTCTTCAAGCACGGCATGATCACCTGGGAGTGGGGTGTCGTTGTTGCCTGCTTGGTCGTCTACATTGCTCTCATTGAAACCTGGAAGGCCGTGAAGCGTCACATGGGTCTCGGCATGATTGCACGCAGTCCCGAGGGACAAGTTTAGTCCGCGCCTCAGAATGGAGTTTGTCTGCTGCGAAGCAGATGCCTCTGCGCAGGCTTCAGTAAAATGGACGGAAGGTTCCTTGGTCATCGGCACCTTGGTGCGGAGTATTGGCGGGATTGACATCAGATCCAACATCGGTAATGGAAATTAGGCAGTATGGGGCTATTCAACATGAGTCTGGCTGGCTTTCGGGCTTTGATGATACGTTTGCTTTCGTCACACTCTTTTAGTATGTCTTTCTATCAGGCTTTGGCTGTTGAGGATTTACTCCAGCCCAAACATGGCACGCAATAAAACGAACTCGATGTTTCGAGCTCAACCCACACTATAGACGTTCCCTACTGCCACAAGTTGTCTCCTGTGATGTCCATGAACCCCTGACTCCATCTACTTTTCGACAGCACCAGCCTCCCTCCTCTCCCTCTCAACCTTCTCCTTATACTCAACCCAATCATCACTTCTCGGAAACGGCACATCCGGCACCTCGACCCCCAGAAACGCACAAAGAGGCTCCCACCCGTCTCCAGGCCTATACTCGAGGAACTTCCGCCCATCAGTCTTCAAAGCTCTCACTTCCTCGTGGTGTCTCTCAAAGTAGGACTCCCCATTCTTCTCAAAGTCGTTGTTCCAGCAGACAGAGTGATACGCGTCCGCTAACCCCTCCATCGGCGACTTTTGGAATTCATCCCGGTGGAGGTGTGCGTGGATCAAGGTATCGCGCATCGAGGAGGCCCAAGGTTCGAAGGGGCGGGTTGTGTGGATTATGGGGGTTGAGGGGTATGCTGTTGCGAGAGGGGTTGGGAAGAGGGAAGGGGGGAAGTCGGAGACGGCGGAGTAGGAGGAGAGGAGGGCGTGCCATTGGGGGGCGGACCAGGGGTTGCGAGGGTTGGAGGCGGGGAGGTTGTCGTTTATGGCGGATATCCAGAGGTCTTGGTGGGTGTTTTTGGCGACTTCGCGCATGTGGTAGACGGGGCAGATGGAGAGAATTGCGAGGGCGTCGGCGAGGGCTGGGGCGTGTTAGGGGGGTTCGGTGAAGGGGGATCATGGACGGGAGGGGGAGGGGGAGAGGGGAGGTACATTGTGTGCCTGTTCTGGGGAGGCCCAGGACGAGGACTTTCATCTCAGACATTGTCGGCAAGTTGTCAATTGTGGGAGATCTTGCTCAAGGCGGATGAGTTCTTGATGATGGTGAGAAGGATGAGCGCTCATTTCGTGAGTGAGTTGACCACAGCGATTTAAAGCATTCGAATGGTCAAAGGCAGGAAGGACTGAGGTACAGACTTTGGAATTGCGATGCCTTATGCCACCTACCTCGATACAGAGGATCGACTGTGTCCGAGATGTTCCGCGATACACGGTCACGGGGCTAGCCCGGATAGGAAGCTGATTCGGAGCGGGTCGGATCGGAGATGCCGTCAGGATTCGGGGCCCGGTCATGATCCCACTGTTTTGCGGGATTGCGGCCGGCGGTATTCGCCCCAGTGCCACGGTCTTGCTCATGGCAGGATTCATGCGCAAATGAAGCGCCCAAGCTTCACGAGATATCGGAGGTGTTGGGTGTGGTTCGGTTACGAGGGTTAGATGTGACCTTTTCGTCAAATGACAAGATTACTAGTGTCCTGGCTCGAAGCGTGTTGAGTTGCTTCACGGAGCGCGGGAATTGGTTCGACCACATGCCGGCCGTCGTCTTAGCTAAATACGAGCGAGTATGACACCTAAGGTATATAAAGAAGCTCGGAGCCTTGATTTACGAGATTACAGGGCAAGCATGCGTGCAAGCAACTAGCTGCCGGGATTTGCGCCGCTTACTATCGTTCTAATCCAAGATGACTTGGGAAGAGAAGAGAACATAAGACTTGGACTTCTACTATAGGCAACGACTAGTCATTAAAGACTCCGCAGTACAGGGGTTTTTTTTTTTTTTACTCACCATCACCACTCCCAAAGTATTCAGCCTCTAATACGTAAGAGAAGATGGATAAACCGGACAAGTCACTGGTAGTCTGTATCTAATTAAGCGCTTGTTGAAATTTGTCGCGAAGGAATGGGAGAAGGAACGTCGATGGCTAGTGCCAAGAACCGACAATACCAATTGGAAGGCAGGCCGATGAATAAATTCACGGGATATCATCCCAGTCAACTACTCGCTGCTTTGGAAGAGGTGCATATGCCTCTTGTTCCTTGATTTTATAGTACTTGACTTCCTCCAGTTGAACATCCGTGGACAGGAGGTACCGATAAATAGGGAGCCACAAGTGCATGTGCAAATGCCACGGGCCAATAGCCACGAGACAGACCAAGTGTGCTATTTCTACCTCGACGCGAAAGCCTAGTTGGTACTGCACTCAGCCATACAGAATGGCACCAAGGCCTTGATGAAAACAACTAAGAAACTTTTGCTTGACATGGCAGCGCAGGTTTACAAATGGAAGCCAGTTACAGTTTTACTATGGAACAGGTAATTATGTGTGAATGTGTATATTGCAGGAGAACAATACGAAGTCCACATGTAAACTTGATACACTTTCCCACTAAGAGCGATCGAGACTTGGACAGGGAAACCACTACACCCTACTTCATATAGGCCTGTCATGGAGATGTAGAAGTAAAGAATGAAAGACCTCGCGAAATCACATTAGGGACACCCAATAATCAAAATTTTCGTCGAGCAAACTTTCCGAGTACGAATCTCAGACCAAGGGTTTGCCCCTTCATCAGCTAACTTTACCCCTTCGTCATCCGCCTGCCGTGATTTGCCTTTCGGCCCTGCAGGCTGCGTTCGTCTCTACTTTTCTGACCAGCACAAACCATACCACCGAAGTTCGCCTCATGCCGGATTTGCAGAGTGTAAGGTAGGTAGGTCCCCAAGGGTCCGTCTGGAAGGGCAGGAAGTCTTTCTCAACTGGAGTATGATAGTTTCGAGTTTGTCGATTGACGGAATGAGTTCTTCATGGGATCCTTCAATTATGAGCTAGCTGCTTGACTAGATGTCTTTAGCTTTGCGAAGATGGATTGATATGATCATAAAGCCCCATCGCCATAGAACGCTTCCCATATCGTAAGTAAGGTCACCGAAAGAGGAACGAGAACGTTAATATCCTGGGGGTTCGGTTTGCTTATCTACTTCTTTCTGTGTTGCATCCGTCAGGAACCACACTCATCACTCATTCCGTCAAACAATGTACCGAGGCAAGGTTCGCCACTTGTAAACGTGTGATGAACCAGTTCCTCTTCAATCAGAACGCATCCGGGAATAAGCTTATTCGATGAGGAGCGAATCGCATTCGGAATGTGTGTCTTGAGGTCAAAGCAAATGCCCTACCTACTCCTCCAATCCTCTCCATAATGTGAGCCACGAATCACAAACTCATTCCACGCAAACAATCTGCCGAATACCCTAGAACCCCGCTCGCCCCTTGAGCAAAGGGATTTGACTTCAGAGTGCGTCAGGGGTTCGTTGATATCGGGGCCTCTTGTGTGTGAGTCTGATCTGGCGAGTGACAAGACATGCTCTAGACATCCATTCTGGGAAATATTCGGCTTGGAAAAAGATCGAGAGAAGTACACCATCAGCAGAACCTTCTCAACTAGGTATGGAGATTGTGGGATGATGCAGCTCAGAGACTCCCGTGCAGAGTCCAACTTCTTGGGCATTGGGGTCCGGATTACCAAGGGTCCGGACCTTTGAGACCATGAGCTACACCGGATTTCTAGCACAGCAGCCTTTCAGACCGAGAAGGTTCTGGGGGAATCGGATGTGACGAATCCGCGGTCCAAGCCAAGTAGCCTCCTGCCTCGGTGGTTCGCCATTCTTGACCCAGGCTCGTGAACCAGCCAAGGTGGGGGTACAGCGCGCCGCCGTATCCTGTTTGAGAATATCGGACATCGAGTGAGAGGTGCCAGCTGTCTCGCACGCATCCCCTCCCGTTCCGAAGGCCACCCAGTGGTACTCGATCACTTGGCCCCCCTGACATCCACAAATCCTGTTGCCATCCGACGAACTGACCCGGGGTAAGGACCATTTGATGCCACCACCACGATAATGACAGATTCAGTCATTCATGTCGATGTCGGGATAACTCAACTCACCCTCAGCCACCCCCGTACCAGAAACAAATTGGTGACAGGTTTGCAGCTTCATGGTCTTAGCCAGGCGCATAGCCGCGTCTGGCACGGACCTCTGCAATGGAAACCTGCGGCGAAGTGACATATGGTAGACATTTGTCAACTGTGTCACTGTCTCAGATGAGCACAGAATACTGAGTCGAATCCGAATGCGCGGCTTTTGATCGCTTGGCACTCGCCGAGATCGTTGCCACAGTCATTGGGCCTAGGGAATCAGCTCCGCGTCAAGCAACCGTATTTCGAACGTCTATCGTAAAGTAGCACATGCTTTTTTAAGGTAAAACTAATAAATCTTACTTAACTATAGGTCTACATATCAAAAACAAAAGCATTATTTATGTATTAAATTAACTCCTAGCCCGTTTTCAAAAATGATTCTTTTTAATTTAATTAATTCTTCTTTATTAAGGTCCTCCTATTTAATAAATAATTATTACCCAAACTCGCCCTTAAATAATTATAATAATATACGTAAATAACTTATAGTTATACATAGTTAACTACGTATAATAACAATAGTTAATAATAATAATTTTAAGTAATTTTATATTAGACTAGTTAACTAAGTTATACTAAATCAATAAATAAATAAAATTACCATTTTATTTAAGTCTTTTTAATATTAGTTATATAAAAATATTATAATTATTATCGTCGAAATAAATATAAGTAAAATAATAATTACAGCAATTAAAATAGTGATAAGTAAATTAAAATTTTTATAATAAAAATAATAACAAAAATAAGCTAAAATAAAAGAATAATTATTATAATTATAATTTATATAGAAAAGAGAATAAATAAGCGGCCGTTATACTCAATTAGGCGTCCCGGGGCCGGATTATTATATAATCTATATTTAAGGTACGATAATCGCTTTTTTCGAGCTCCGTATAAAACATTGCTTTTTCGCGTAAAGCAGTTTTATCTGAATCCCTAATTGGGCCATTGGTGTGCTAAGACGTCGTGGAGGCTCTCATCAAGACGTGAACGCACGATGACACTCAGTGCCGCACTAGCAGCTGCCAAACAGGCGACAGGCCAGTTTCTGTAAGATGTCTGTCTGGCGCTACTTCGCCTAGCTAGGCACTAGAGGCATTTGACACACATACCGCTAACATATCATGTGCAGACGGAACACCCCGAGGTGCTGCTGTGTGCTAGCGTTCCCGCACCAGTTTCTTGAAGTTCTGCAGGAGTGAAGTCTACTCAGTCTGCGCCACAAGTTAGTCTGCTGAATATGTGAACCATTCAGTAAGCTTATTGCGTTAGTGTGGAGAAAATATGCGGGCTGAGGGGCGCGACAAGTCAGTACGTTCGCCAAGACCGGAAGCCAGCTATCGAAGCCCCGGCTTGCAATGCTACCTCGGAGCCATCGTATTTGTCGAATGAAGACCATTTGGCATTTGGCATGAGCTCTTGACAAATTCAGGGGAACACAACTGATAACTTGTGCCATCTGAAATGCTCCGGCAGGTATCGCAGTGCCGCGATCACAACATGGTCTAGGCGGCGTGAACGCACATACCATTAGAAATGAACAGCACTGCTGCCGGAGGATGAAAATAGAAGGGATCACCCTTTCGGGTTCAGGATTGCCATGCAGACTGAATGTGAAAATCTGTCACTATTGGCCGGGTTGAGGAACTGACACTTCTAGCTAGGTCCGTGAATCCACATTTCGTTTCGTCTGACCGCAAGAGCCGTGATCTTTGTTCGACGGCCGAACAACGCTGCATGGCGTGCCATCTGCGCGCGTTTCAAGGGTTTCCTCCTCGGCCGCGACTACGCCCAGCCGGGTGAGGCTCCCGCGGCGTCAATTGCAACAGCTTGGGCAAGTACTGACATTTTCTGACGATGGCAACTGTGAGAGGAGTTGGTTTTGCGCACCGCGTGTCCGGGTATGGGAATACAGACTGATGGGTCGTATGGTGTTCGATGCCTCTTGGACCTGAGGCTGCGATGGCTCGGATGAAGTCTCGGTGACTGGAAGGCAAAGGTCGAGTTGACTTGCTGTCGATGTCTCGAAGTTGATATATTAAGACGGTGGATTTCCTGGTCTAAGTCAGCTTCCCTTCCATCTCATCAGCATCCAGACTTCTCAGCTTCCACTAATCTTCCAACACCATTCCAAAGAACTTCTACCTTTTTAATTCAAACTAATCAAGTCTTCGCTTACCGAACAACCAAAAATCAAGATGCATTTCACCAACGTCTTCGTCCAGGCCCTGCTTGCCGGTTCCGCCATTGCAGCTCCCGCTTCTCTCGTCAGCAAGCGCCAACTTCAGACCATCCAGGGTGCCTTGACCAGCGTCCAGGACTCTCTTACCGGACTCGACACTGCCGTCAAGGTAAATAGACAAGAACTGACCATTCTTCAAGGACAAAGGCTAACTCGCTCTTGCACAGGCTCTCAACGCCGCGGATCCCAACACCGCCGCCAACCTGCTTGATGCTTCCAACAAGGTCCAGACCTCGCTGAAGCAAGGCACCACGCAAATCCAGGGTGCTCAGGAGCTCTCCCTCACCGATGCCCTCACCCTCCAACAGTCAGCTGGCGGCCTGACCACCGCTGTTCAGACCTCTGTTGATGACTTGGTCGCCAAGAAGCCCGAGCTTGACAAGCTTGGCGCCACCTCCGTTGCTGTTGATCAGCTCAAGCAGCAGAAGGCAACCGCTGGTGACTTCAGCACCGCCATTGTTTCCAAGGTTCCCGCTATCGGTCAGGGCATCGCTCAACAGTCTGTCGACCAGGTCACTCAGTCCCTGGAGGGCGGTATTCAGAAGCTTGGTGGTGACGCCGCTGGTGGTGCCGCGCCTGCTGCCCCCGCTGCTCCCGCTGCTCCCGCTGCCCCTGCCGCTCCCGCCGCCCCTGCTGGCGCACAGGAGCAGTTCCACGCCGAGGTCATGGCCTAAACAGCGCGGTATTCTAAGGAGGAAGATGGTACAGGATCCAATCATGGCGATCTGATGATTATATGAAGATTATTAGCGAGTTTCCTTTTGTGTAGTGTATTGATAGCTGGAGACAGAATGGTTAGCTGAGCTGCCGGAGCAGCTGCGCTGCAGTCTGTTCTGTTCAATTGAACTTGAATTGTCACACCGAATGTGCCTCTTGACAAGCCATATTGAGCTTGAAATCGAAATTGGCAGGATCCATGAACAGTTGGTGATTAAAAACACGTTAGGACTGGAAAGTCTGGTCGCAGCCGGTGTCATTCAGATTCGTCTGAGTCTCTCAACATCAGGCTGTGCTGAGGCGAGCCCCCTGAATTGCTGATTGAACCTTTCCGTCCTCGTGACTCCCCAGTACGGGCCATATCAAAGACAATCTCCACCATCAACGCGACTGTCATTGATGTGCTGTGGACAGGTTTGACTGGTACCACGGTTCTCATCGTTACCATGACATCGTCAATCCAGCTTGCTTGACTAGGTGGAAAGCTTACATTGAAGCTGCGTGACGGCATCAAGACCGTCCCGGATGTTCCAATTCGGCAATGCGCGGCATGATCGAGGCCAGTCTTGCAAGGTGCCTTTGTTGTCCAATGCCGCTTCGAGATAGATACCGTTGTATCTGCCGTTTTCATGACCGGAACCCCTTTTCTTGAAAGACGAGGAGGCCGCGGCCCTTTCCATCGAAGATATGCTGGCCAAGCATGGCCATCATACTTGTTTGTTCATTCAGAGCCTCGGGGGGGGGTCTGCTGCGTAAAGACGATAGTCGGAAAGGCCACGAGGGAATATGACGAAGCAAAAGACCCTAGGCCCTTTCCCTCCCATTCGCTCGAGAGGTCCAAATACCCGTCTCGAGAGGTATTCTCGGTCCTCCTTGCATAGCATGGAGATCATGATGTTCGTTGATTCTTCGGGGGCGAAGTTGGAGGACCAGTTATCAGGATAAGCGGTGTTTCTTTCATACCAGGGAAGAAAGGATCTTTTCAAAGCCGAGCTCAGCGGTATCCATGGAGCAGGTAAGAATACTCGAGTGTACTGATGCTGGTAATCGCTGACGTGGGATGATAATGGTAGGCACATGGAGCTGCTGGTATGCTCCCCAGTCGTGTTGCAGTTCAAAACACCCAGCACAAATGATGGGCATAAAGTCTGGACCAGTGGCAAAGATATTGAAAGACCGGCATTGATCATGGTGAAATTCGGCGGGATCGTTGCCATTGGGGCTGCCAGACGGGACCAGCGGCCGATATTCCGTCATGGAAAGGGTCGGTATGTCGCAGACGAAGACGCTCTGGTCATCGGATATCTTTATTATCTCTTCCTGCAGCCTTAGAAATGCCTTCTCGCCCTCTCCATAGAGAAGTGGCATATTGACACCGAAGAGACCGAGGAGACAATATGCTTGGTCTTCGAGGCGAGTTGGGACACGGCCAGCGGCCCAAGACATGATTTTCGCAATGCTGAAGTCGGAAGGGAGTGCGTTACCTAGAGGACAACTCTTATCAATTCCGGTTGCTTGGTGAATCGTGTCAAGCAATGTTATTATCGTTCCAATGAAACTCCAATCCTGGTCGTAGAAGTTGATGTCTAGGGGAGCAACAAGCTCCTATAAGGTCCAGCCACGAGTAAACCATTTGCTGTTCAGGAACTGAGTAACCCGGTCGCGATAATCCGGAGCGCTGCTTGAAGCTAACACGTCGGCCATGTAAACGTAGCATACTTCCGCTTCCCGGTACCAGGCAAACATGGAGTTGATAGCTTCGGATAACTCGGCGGAGCTGCGCTTGTCGATGCAGTTGGTGTCTACCCAAGCGTGGGTGTATCCGTCCTGCAAGACCAAACGGCAGAACGATTCGATTTTGAGAAAGCCCTTCTTCTCTACTCTGATATCGTGATGATTCCATTCTTGGAACGACACTTCTCCATCTTCCCAGGTGTGGGAAAGAATGGCGTATGGTGGGATGCGAGCACGGTCAATGAACTCTTCGAGCTGCAATGTTGCTGTGTTGATCAGACGCATGGCGGACTGATTAGGAGCGCTGATAAGAGCAGCTCAGCCCCCAATGTCTGAGCCTCGGCCTGATAATCGCGAAGGTCACGATGAGGCTTCATGGCGAAGAAGCTTTGTGTGGTTGGAATGAGGGGTATCCCATGTAACTAGGCAGTTGGGAGACCCTGGTCACTTCCATGGCAGCTACGGTGAGATGACTAAGCGGCAAGAGTGTGTTTATCTCACCTCGGTAGGAAAGTCCTCATGGGCCCAAGATCAACCTTCAAGAGCCGGTGCAACCGAATTGATTGCGCCTGAAGAAGCTCTCACGTGCCTTTGTTGTTGGACGAGGATAGAAGCTTCTCATGGTTGCCACAGGATTCATCCTGACATCATCCCTTTCCCCGGCGGAGCCTCTGCTCCTGACTTCCCCAATGTCACCACCCGATATCTCTCATCCGGCAAATGATGCTTCGGACCTTCTATTTGCCTTTCTTAGTCGTGGGTCCTCATCAATTTGTCTGGTGCGATCAGTCACCAGTGCAACTTTCCGTTGGAAGTCCCGGAAAGTCATGATCATCTGCCCCCGAAGGCTTGGCGACGTGATGTCTTGCCATTCGATTTGATTTATTGCTCAGGTAACCTCCTCTGATGGAGGATAGATGTGGGAGACAACTCTGATGGTCCTCTTTTCTTTGCAAGATCTTTCACTAAAAGAGACACGTCTCTTTGCTCCTTTCGTAGAAGTCTACGATCATTCTGGCTTCTGACAACCATGGATGAGAAAGCAGCCTCTGGGGCCGACGGTCCCCCTGATCCGACACATCCGCGCACCAGTGCCATCGACACTGAACATCACTATCCTCACCGAAGCGACCCTACAGCGTTTGGTCGCCATAGCTTACAGATTACCCAGCAGCAAAAGCCTACTTCGACGTCGCATACTGACGGGCAACGACGATACGGGGTCACTCCCAGCACAAGAGATGAAGACATCAATGATGAAAAGAGATCGCGTACGAAGAATCTACCAGACATCAACACACCCCGCCGCCCAGCATCAGCACCACACAACCAACCCTCATCCCCAAACTCCCCAAAGAACCGCACCGCCCGACTAAGCCATGACTTCAACCGCCGCTACGACGGCCCCTTCAGCCGTCCAAGTCCCGTCATGACCCGGCGAAGCACCCACTCGCCCACCCGACCATCTCCGGACCCAACCACACCCCACCCCGGCGAACCCCCCGAACCCCCGAACCCCCCGGTCCCTCCCGGCCCCTCCCGGCCTTTCACCCAACACCCCCACCCCTAAATTACACCCTCCGCACCCGCAAGACAGCAATCGCTCTCTTCTGGACCTTCATCCTCATCGACTCCATCGCCATGCCGATAGCACTCTACTTCGGCCTCTGGTACGGCGTCGGCCCAGGCACAAACATCCCCACCGAAAAACGGGAGAAACTTTCCCCCAACACAGTCTTCACCATCGTCACCGCCTCCGTGGGTGGCGCCAGCATCGTCGAGTACTTTGTCCGCTTCTGGCGGCTTTGGCGTAAGGGGAGCACGTGTCGTGTCATTGGGGCGCATAGGTGGTACCTAGACTGGTTTCACTGGAACTTTTCGTTGGCGTGGATTATTATCATGATTGAGCTCATCGTGTAAGTGCCCCCCCTTCCCTACTACCTCACACATAATGAAGTTACACACCCACTCATTGACACCATCAAAAGATGCACAATCCCAAAAAACCCCCCAATCCACCTCCTCTCCCTCCCAGCCCCAACAATGCTCCTCACCTTCGGCACCCAACTCCTCCTCATCGACGTCCTCCGCGCCCTCCACATCCCCTCGCCCATCCGCATCTCCTCCATCCCCCGACACGCACAGCTCCGACCGGGGATCTACTCCCTCATAGAAGACATCTGCGCCGTCGACGGCTCAGGCGGGACCGAATTCCGCGTGGCGCTTGATAGGCGGTATGAAGCGAGCCACGTCTTTCGCGCAATGTTGAGGAGGGTGGGTGTTTTTTGGGCTGTTGGTGCCGAGGGGTGTGCAGTGGTTTGTGTGGTGTTGGTGTTTATGTTGGACGGGGAGGTTGGGTATGTTGTTGGGTGGAGTTTGCCGTTTGTGTGGGCTGGGGTTTGGACGGGTGCGACGTTTTGGTATGTCAAGAGGGAGTTGAAGAGGGAGGCGAAGGCTTGGAGGGAGGAGGTTGCGAGGAAGGGGGTTGCGGGGTCGACGTCGTCGGTCTAATCGACACAGCTCTGTCACAGACAGAACATGTCATAATGGAACACAAATCACGAACCTGAAATGTACGAAACATTGATGCTTGGAGATTTTATCTTGATTTTTACTTTCATCCATGTCTATGCTTCCATGGGGACCTCCCCCACCACTCCCAAAACGCCTCGTTCACGGCTTAAACGTCCTCTGAGACGCCGTTTTCTTCTCCCAATACATACATGCAAAGGTCTACTCCTCGAGACCCCATCTCAAGAAGGAACCGTATAATACAGAAAAAAGGAAAAAGAGGCATTCGTCCAATTACACAAAGGGCCGCCCTCCCACACACGACACGACTACCGCTTCCGCGTGTCGCGACCCTTCTTTTTACTCTTCTTCTTATCCTTGGGCAGGTCCAGCGCCGTGCCCTTGAGCTGCTCCGCCATCGTCCGGAGCATGTACTCGTCCACAGTATATACCCTTTCGCCCCACGCGTTATGTTCAATCTCTGCTGCCTCATCCGGGGCGACGGATTCCGAGAACCGGCCTAGTCCCGAAGGCCCGGGGCCGCCACTGCCGCCTGGTTGGCCGGCGACGTCCTCCCGCGGCGTGCCTTGGCGGGTACTAGATGCGCCGGAGGGTGCGCCGCTCTTTTCGTTGAACTCGGCGTCGTCGTCTTGGATTTCCTTCTCGGCGGCCTTGGCGGCTTCCACGTCTTCCTGGTCTTCGGCCTGCTTAAGGTCCTCGGCCACGGTCCGTGACGGTCCGCTGTCTCCTCCACCTAGGAGACGGTCCATGGCGGCATTAGCGGCATCATCGACCAAGTCTGTTCCCTCGGTGCCGAGCACATCGCGGACGGAAAGCTTGTTGAAGTAGTCCGTGGTGAAACTACCCTCTTGAATGACCACATCGTCCAGCATCTGCTTCTGTGACGCCTTGCGCAGAATGTTGGCCTCAATCGTGTGCTCGCTGACGAGTCGGTAGATGTGTACATCTCGCGTTTGACCGATGCGATGGCATCGATCCTGGCATTGCTTGTCCATGGCTGGGTTCCAGTCTTGGTCGTAGAAGATGACGGTATCGGCCCCAGTAAGGTTAATGCCCAATCCACCGGAACGTGTAGACAAGATGAAGCACAAGATGCGTGGGTCGTGATTGAATCTGTCAGTGAGGATCTGTCGCTGCTCAATCTTTGTCTGTCCATCAAGGCGAAGGTACTTATGACCGTGGATATTGAGGAACTGCTCGAGGATATCCAGGACCTTGGTCATCTGTGTAAAGATCAAGGCACGATGACCACCGGCCTGGAGCTTGCGAAGAAGCTTGTCCAAAGCTTGAAGCTTTCCACAGTCGTATTGAAGCAGGCGTTTGTCCGGGAACTGGATGCTGTGGCGCATGCGAGACTCGTGCCACGGGTCGATTGGTGGCTGCTTGGGCATGAAAGGAGCCCACCGGACGGGGGCCGAGAGTTTGAGGTCCTCGTCCGTGAAGGCCTGCGCCGCCTTTCTTCCCAAAATCACCTCGTTCATGTCGCGAGTGATGACAGCGGGAGTGACACATGTGAACTTCTGGATGAGGGTCTGCATGGAATCGGCTCGCTCATCGGATGTGTGGATGACGGCACGGAGAAAGTCAGAGTCTTCCGCGAACCAGTTCAAGATCTGATTAGGAATTCTTGGCTTGGGTTTCCGGGGTCGACTGTCTAATCCGAGCGTCAGGAAATCAATCAGACGCTTGCCATAGATGGGCCGACGTTGGCCGCGGAGAGCGTTAAGGTACACGCTGTGCTGCAATTCCTCGAAGCGGCGCCAGCGAGCCAGGCTGTCCAGATACATAATGTTCGACTCAACTGATGAAGGGTCGAGATTGGTGCGAGCCAGGTGAGCTCTGGTATTCTGTGCTTCTCTCAGTTCCATCAGTACCCTGTGGAGGCTGAGCTGCGAAATGCGCTCCGCTGTCGTGTTAGACATGTTCTCGTGTTGTGTGGGAATCATGTTCAGAACCCCCAGGCTAACAATAGACATTGGCTCTACTGCAAGTAATGATCGGTGTAGGAACTGATCGGTAACCTGGAAGTCTGCCGGAACGGATTTCTGCATCCTGAAAGACGTCATGATGGGGCGGTCCACGAACAGGTCGGGATGATTGCACACCTTCCGCAATTGCATCAGGCAGTTAATGATGGATAGGTAGTTGCCAGAGGACAGCGTCTCCCGGGTATCCGTGCGAGCCAAGAAGCCATCGTACAATTCGCGCTGACGTTTCGACAGGCGACAAAACTCGACGTGCTCGTACTTGGCCGGCATCTGCTTTTCGACGTCGGCCTTGAGTCTTCGTAGTAAATATGGTCGCAGGACCTTGTGTAACTTGGAAATGATCGCTCGCGCTTCCTCGTCCATCGTCTCGCGACCATTTTCCAGGATCTGAGACTCTGGCTTGTGGAACCAATCATGGAACTCTTGCAAGTCGGCGAACCCCCCTACACCATTTTCGGCTGGCATAAGGAAGAACAGCAACGACCACAACTCGGTGAGGTTGTTCTGAAGTGGGGTGCCTGTAAGTAGAAGCCTTGCCCGAGTATTGAAACCGAGTAGCGTCTGCCACCGCTGGGACTTGAAGTTCTTGATGTTGTGAGCCTCGTCGAGAATCATATAGTGCCACCTCCGGCGTTTGAAGACCTGCTGGTCTTGGATGACAAGCTGGTAAGAGGTGATGCAGACGTTCCATACATCGTCATTATTCCATCCTTGTCGCTTGCGTTTTCTCTCCTCTTGAGTACCGTAGTAGGAGAGAATCTTGAAGCCGGGGCACCATTTCTTGAATTCCATCTCCCAGTTGAGCATGACACTCGTTGGGACGATAACCAAATGTGGTCCCCAAACCTCATGGTGGCAAGCAAGATGGGCAAGTAGTGATATGGTCTGAATAGTTTTGCCAAGACCCATCTCATCGGCGAGAATGCCGTTGGTATTGTTGGCATACAGGCCCGCCAGCCAGTCCAGTCCATGGTGCTGATATTCACGCAAAGTGCCACGTAGTAAGGACGGGATCTGTGTCTGTTGTGAATTCGGGTTCGGTGACGCTGATCGACTGACAACGTCCTTTGCCCCTGGGGTTGCCAAAGACATTGTATCAACATCCGAAGGCTTTGTGTCGGACGTAGGGGGCGAGTGGCTTTGTTCTGGACTTGGCGGAACGGTAATAATGTCGGTATCAGGGGTTACATGCTTTGCTGGGATAAGGGCGGTGGTAGATGTCGTGGGCAGTCTTGGCGTCTCTGTTGATTTTGATGGCGCATCCGCCATTTCAGTATCAACAGATTCAACTACCTCGCGTGTGCCGTCGGCGTTGTCGGGAGCCTCTACACTCTTGGCTGTTGGTTCACTGTCCACGCCATTAACCAAGGCCCCATATGGCTTAGGCGACTGTGGGGGAATAGCGATGGGCTGGTCCTCAGAGGCTGCAATTTCGAGACCATCAGCCTGGTCACCAGCGCTTTGTTTAGTGCCTGGCAGCTCAATAGCTGGTACTTCCGTGTCAATCTCCATCTCGTCGCCGTCCAGGAAAATACCAGGGTGTTGGATCAGAGACACCTCATCGTCATCTTCATCCTCCACAATCTCGTCCCTGAAGTTCGATGATGCCTCAGCTTGCGGAGATGCGCCATCCGCTACCAAGGCTGCAGTGCTCTCATGTGGCCCCTTATCGTCAAGCGGCGCGTCGTCCTTGATTTTCTTCAGCTCGGATTTCCCAAAGAGCATGCCCAACAATCCAGCTGGCTCCTCATCTCCGTCTTCCTCTTCCGACTCTTCATCCGCAACAGAGCCATCATCGCTGTCGTCCATGTCGGTAGATCCCATATCGTCATCCATGTCGACTGACTCATCACTGGTGTCTTCTCCGGGGCTGGTTGCGACAACTTTTGAGTCTGCCTCGGACTCTACGCCATTGGTGAGTTTGTTTTCGGCTTGTTCGTCGGGAGGTAGTTCTGGTAGGTTGGCGTATTTGGCGCGAAGCTGTTCCATAGTGAGCTTCTCATCGCCAGCATCGCCAGTATGATCTTCGCCCGCGTCTTCCTCCTCTGAGGATGACATGACGTCGTCGTCGTCATTACCGGAGTCATCATCATCGGCGTCTACCGACATGGGTTGACTATTCTCGAGGTCACTGTCGAGGTCGTCAAGGTCCTCGTCATTGTCGTCTTCGTCGAGGTCATCCTCGTCGGATATGTCCGAGTCCGCCTGTGTTCTTCTTGCTTGCAGCTTCTGTTCTGACAAATTGACTGCCTCTTGAAGCGCAGCCTTGACTCGCCGCTGCTCCTCCGCTTCCCATTCTTGGATCCTCCGCCGGTTGATCTCGTAGCGAACGTTCTCCCAGGTTCCAAACATGCTTTTGACAACCACTCGGTACCGCCCAATCCATACATAGCGCGCCTCGGCTTCGAGCTCTTCTGCTGACTTTGGTTGACGTCGGAGCCAAGCGTCCTTGCAAGCTTCGGCAATCCTCTTGGCCTGCGCTCGATGTCTTTGCTGCTCTGCGACCATGAGCTTGCGGAAGTTGGTGACAGCCTTGGCCATGTGGTCTGCATGAGCCCATTGCCGCGGAGGTTCCTCTTCCGCCTCGGGGACAAACAGAGTGCAGCGCTCTTGTGAAAGAATACCGCCAGGCTCCACAGCCTCTTCGATGCGCAAGACAATCTGGGCATCCTTCTGGGCCATCTCGTCCGTGTAGCTAGGGCCCTCTTCTGGGACGTACATGCCGCCATCCTCAACGGGTATTGCCTGCGCCTTTTCCCAGTATTCCTCAAAGTTGGGGCCGATTCTCAGTCGCTTGCTGACTTGTCCAGGGTGTACGACGGGTAGCTCAGTCGCGCGCACGCGTAGCTTAATCCGCGTGCGGTTTGGGCTACCCGCCTTAGCTCTTGCAGCATCTTCGTCGATAGAGCTACGGCGGCCCCGCCTTGTCCGTGTCGACTGCCTAGTCGGCTGAGCAGATGGGGATGGGCTTCGCTTACGCATGGATCGGGAGGAAGATTTGGTCTCGTTCGCAGTCGACTTTCGGTTGGAGCTCTTTGGCGGAGGCGGCGCGGTCTTTACTGTCGATGGTTTTCGCGAGGGAGTCTTGGACTTGGAGGTTCCGTTTGGCGTCGGGGTCGCTGCGTGGCCGTTGGTGGAAGCATACTTGTTCTTGGAGGGCGGACTGCTGTTAAGAGCTCCTCTCGTCATTCGCTTGCCGGATGGCGGATGGAACTCGAGGGGGATCGTGTTAATTCGACCAGACTTGCGTCTGCCATTGTCGATGAAGGAGGTAGGGCCCTCAGCGGTGATCTTCTTCCATGGCGGGGAGATTTGATTCTTTTTCAGGCCGGATCCAGGGGCAGATGGCGTGGAGACGCGGCGTCGCTTCGAAGGGCGTTGTTCATCATCGATGTCGGAGGAAGGCGCGGGAGGAGGAGGCGAGGGCGATGGCGTTGATGGAGATAATGGTGATGTCGGTGATGGTGAGCGGAGGGGTAGGCCGATGAAGTCGTTGCCGTTGGGGGTCAGTTGGCCTTCGAAGTCGTCGGATCCGAGGGATTCAAGGGGTGATGAGGGCGGATCGGTATCATATTGAGGTATAGTCGCGGTTTGTTCGTCGCGTTGCGAGTCGATGACCTCGTTGGTGGGATGCGCAGGGTCGGGCGACGCGGTCTTGTTCATAATAGCAACGGGGGGCAGACGCGGGATGGGGCCGTGATCTCAACGGGGCCGGCATCTGAAGCGTCGAAATTAACGTCTATGGAATGGTGTATGCTCAGAGAATTCTAGTTTCGAGTTTGAACATGATGACACGTCTTGGTGGCCGGCTGCGTTGGAAAAAGGGTGCAAAACCAGTGTCACCAGCAAAAAGTTTGATGATAGATTTTTTTGCAAAGATGCAGCTCCGGCCTTGCCTGGGCTAGCCGAAAAGAGAACGTTGGTACTTGCCTCAGACCTTCAGACTCGGGCGGCGTAGGGGGCGTAGTAAGGGCGTAAAGGCCGTTCGGGTGGTGACGGCGGACGACCTGATGGAAGACGCTGTGAGGTGCAGGCAGCTACACACCACTGTGACTCGAACCACCAATGAAAGACGGCCAGTGTTTGGGGGGACTTGCTCCCTTGAATCAGCGGCCACACAGCTACGGATGACAGGAGTCAGGGCGATTCTATCCAACCAGACACCCGCATTCGATCAAAGTACCCCACTTCTGTCTTTGGCTGGCGCGCACCTCAAAAAAGTGACCATTTCTAGACTTGCTCGCCTCAGGCATTCACTGCATCCAGGCCAGCCAACCACAATCGAGGGATTTGGCTGGCAATCATCAATCCATCGAAGCTTCGGCTCTGACCTGCGACGACATCACATCCAACATAACCAAGCAATTGGGTCGCATCGGAACCACAACCTCGGCCACGGTATGCCCCTCGCACACTCAATTGACTCGCAAAATACCGTAACGATCTAATCCGCCTCTCCCGCAGATGCTGTCCCAACGATTTGCGCGGGCCTCGACGGTCCGCGGCGCCGTCCAGGCCGCCCGACGAACCCCGATTGTCCAGCAACGTACCTTTTTCCCTCCTCAGTACAACGACCGAAAGGTTCTCGAGGAGAAGTACCCCGAGTACCCGACTCTGTCTGATGCGGAGGACCCCAACATGGTCAGTGAGGCGGCAATTGGTGACGGCGAGAGAGAGGCTCGGTAGCCGAGGCTAACTTGGAGACGCGCAGAACGGCGGATACATCAACCCTCCCTTCATCAAGAGACAGTTCCGCGACCCCCACGGCGACTGGTGGGACAAGCAGGAGCGCCGCAACTTTGGCGAACCCGTTCACGAGGACCACGACTTGCTCGGCATGTTCTCTCCCTTCGAGTACACCTGGACCACCACCGGCAAGGGCCTGGCCCAGATTGGTGCCTTCATCGTTGTTTTCCTCGGTGTCTGCAGTGTCGTCAAGGCCAGCTACCCCGACAAGGCTTCATACCCGAGAGAATTCCCCGACGGACTCGAGAGGGAGCTGGGAGGTGCTAGCGCTCTGCGGGTAGGTTCTGACGCAACTAACGAGATAAAAACTTCGAAACTAATATCATCATAGGCGAGAAAGGCTGGTGACGCTGACCCATGAAAAGTGTGAAATGTCGGGGGTTGCGATCAGTGACGCATGTGTGTATTTTAGAGCAGAACAAGAAATCCCTTGGGAACCCCACCAGTAACAAGTTCATATGTCTTCAGCCAATGTCCCGACGAGAATCATTGGCAGTGATATAACAGGTGCTTTAATCATATCAATGTTAACCTGACGAATAGTCGCATCTGGCTGCCGCAAAGAAATCAGTTGTGGAAGGTCTCTCATCAGCAATGGCAGTATCGCGAGGTACCTGGCTAATCATCGGTCACTTCTTCACGATGGCAAGTGCCCGGCTACTTAGTACTAGCCACTTGATGGAGGGTGCCGAAATGAAACGCATGGCAATTCCTTCTTTCCGAGAGGCATCTCAGTTGCTGCTTGCCCCTTTGGTGAAAGAGGTACGGCACCTTGCCGTACCGATGACTTCTCCTCTTCCCACTTTGATGCGGTAAACAGACTCGACGTCAACAAAACAACCGCACTGTTCAGTGTTTCCAGCATACTAATCTCGATCATCGGACTTGACGTTTGTCGTACCCACCATCGCCTGCTCGCGTTTCTGCAAACAACAGAGACTTCACTCGTCGTCAAGCTCGATTGCCGTGGGAAATCCCAACATGCACTACGAGAATTGGGACGTCCTGCTGTTTCCCGGCGGTGGATCAGTGCCACTGAAGGAGTTCAGAACAGATTGCTCTGTCATCCCCGACTTTGGTCAGTGTTGGCGAGCTCTGCGGTGATGGGCATCTCTTTACTGACCAATGGATGCCATAACAGAATCCAAACCAGCACCTTGTTTGGGGTCTTTTATTGGCTTGCCGGCTGTCCATGGCTTCGTCCCCAGTCTTCACCGCAACATGCCCCTCACGGTTTCCGTCTTTTCTTGGACAGTACCTCCAGTCAGCAACCCGAATCGAGACGCCAACCTCGTAGTTTTTGCAGCCCGGGTGTACATCGATGGGGATCTCGTCGCGTAAGAACATCTGCAGTCGATGTATATATCGCGTATGGCTTCTAATGGACTGCCAGTGAGGACGTATGGAATCAAAATCAGCGAGCACCTCTCACCATCACTCAAAGTCTGAGTAGGTCGACACAGTGTTCGATCCGTGAATCAGCTAGGAGAACATGCATCTAATCTGCCTCTTTACAGAACCGAACAAACATGGTGACCGCGATGTAATCAGGTTCCCAGCGTTCAACGAGAGGTATCTGCAAGAAAACGGCTGGAATCCTGCCGCATCTCTTGGCCGCATCCAAGTTATCATCACGGAAGCGTACCAGCGCGACCCGACGACTTTGTCCCTGGACCCAATCAAAAACGTCGCTGCGTTTTCTTTCTGTCACGCTCCACTAGGTCGGTAGCAGCGAGTAACTCGGTCCGCTGTCTAGACTGCAGGCTAACCATCCTCAATGCAACAGAGACACTCGAGGAAGCTGCCATTGCCTGGCCGAACCGACATATGTGGGAGAATGCCACGCTGGCATATAGCTTTCCTTCCGCAGTCTATTCGACAAACCACAGCTTGGCTTCTCAGCAAGGGCCTGCAAGACTCGTGATAGATCCGTCCCCACAGCCTTTGTCTTCAACTCCAGCACCTGCGACCTTGCCAGTCTTCCAAAAGACAGCGAACCCGCCACTCCGAGTTCATTCGACAGGCAATCATCATCAGCATGCTGGAGGAGAGTCCCAGGGTCGTGGTATCTGTCGAAATCCATCACGCACCAGCATCTTCCCCGTCGTAGCCAGCACAGTGCATCCATCCGTCGTGCATCAAGATACCAGCCTGCCTACTCACGGCATCGGACCATTCAATCCCATGTTGTGGGGTGCCAGATATGCCGCAGGTCGGCTTTACCCAAGCGATTCTTCTACAGTAGGTCAACAAGAACAGGATGCAGATTCCTCAATTTCACTTGACGTTCCAACGTCTGCGACCGACAGCTCTGCCACTTGTAAGCTTTCCCGTTTCTCACTATTTGCATGGGAATAAGCTGACCTTCGGCAGACGTCGACGATGCGAAGCCACAGGCTGCCCCGGCGGCGAAAAGGAGCATATCAGACCTTGTGTTGTCGATGTCTGACGAAAGAAATCCTCTAAGAAGGCACCACATTCCGATTCCCGCGATGGGGGTCAGGTCTCGCAAAGAGTGTCGACCTGGGCACCACACCCTCGAGCCATTGACGACAACATCCCGCAGAGCATCACGACGCCGGGAGCTGTCGGACGCGGGAAGACTCATATCGCGCCTAGACGAACAGAACACGCCTGAGCCCATGTTCGCGTTGATCGATCCCGTCAATACTGTCAAGCGCGCTCCGTCGTTGGGCACGCCATCAAAGAAACAGTTCGCGGCCGCGAAGAGTGTCCGGCGGTCCGTGTCATTTGATCCAGTCATCAAGGATATCGAAAGTGAGCGGTCGCAACCTGCCACAAAGCCGAGCCAGTGTAAACGCGACTTCACACCTCTTGATGTTGCAGAAGTTATCGCCCAATCTGATCAAGGCCACTCCAGCCCCATCCTGTGATCACTGATTGCAGAGTCAGGAACCATCAGGCGCTGAGATAACAAAAGACATACACGTTAAGCATGACTAGTCTAACCAAGAGGACTCACTTGGTAGCAACGGTTTCCATCTTAACTCGGTCAGGGGTTATGCTGTGCAGCTTTGGATTGTGGGGTTATTTCCACGAAAGACATGGATAGTTCTCAGCGAAACGACAATGTCAATCGCTTACCGCAAGTAGCATTCTTATATCACTCGTAGCAGATGGAATTGAAGACAATTACCCACATCCTGTCGCTGTTTTTGGACAGCCAGTTTCAAGCTGAGTCCGCTGTCAAGTACCGAGCCTCTATTGAACTAAGCTTATTCAAGGTTATTTCAACAGCTTACAAATTGCCAGCCACAGCTCGGCCGATGGCTCGGGGAGGAATTCTTGGGTTATCCGGAGGTGGGGGAGCTTCGATCCACTTTAGGGCCGATTGAATGTCATACATCCATTCCAACTTTTCAATCAGCTTCGCGGGTCTTGTATTCCTGGGCGGGTTAACAATGTGGACGCTATCCTCATCGGCTCGGACTTTGTAAGGCCTGCATCATCGACCTAATCATCCCATGAGCCGCTCCCTTCCGTGAATTGGCCTCGATTGTTTCTTCTGCATTCGCCTTTGCTGATTATTCCCTGGCTCCGCGTCCAGATCTTGCAACTCTCCGTTGAACATCTCATTTCTGCTTTGTTTTTCTCAAATTCTGTGACATGGTTGAGTTTGCTCATCCCCTAACCACCTTGGCTCGCGTTTCGACACCATAGTGAGGTGATGTGCCGGGCGTACGTGAAGGGACTGACAACTTCGGGCATTCTGTGCTGGACAATGCCTCCCGAACCGAAAGCCGGGATGGAGTGCTCGCCGGGATGGGTTGCAAAGGCACCCCAGACCCCAGATCTCGCACTCCGCAAGTGACCCAATGTGACCTGCAATTCGCTTTTTTAGATGAACTAATGCAACTAATCGTCGTCAACGTGTGCGGGGATTTGGGGAACTTGTTCATAGTGTGGGGTGTAAAGGAAATTGGCAGTAGAACGTCGGGATATCCGGTCTGCAGCTTGAATACAGTTGTTTTTGGGATTCTGGCAATGGTTAGCTTCAATTTCTACTGCGTATAAAACCTCTCATATCCTGTTCCATAGCTTGTTCGCTCAGATGGCCGATGTATTGCAAGCTCACTTGGGTCATCGGTGGTCAGTCAAACTGGGATCATGACAATGTTGCAAGCATACCTAGGTCTAGCAGCGGTCTCACTGACTGGGGCATATGCCGCTGCCCTCGAGACTTCCGATGCTCCATCGACAACCGTTCAGCCAACGGCTGCAACTTCGTGGTCATACAGCACCTTTACGTATGAACAGCTGACAGTAAACCAGTACCCCAAGCCGCTGCCATCGCCTCTGACCATCGCCACTCCATACGCACCACACTTCACTGAGGTTTCGACCCTGTTGCCGGAGAATGTCACTTACACGACATATTCCTTCAACCCGACGGGTACAGCATCCCCCGACGGCCAGTACGGCCAGAGTGCCTACGCTGTTCTCTGGGCGAACTACACTTACACGCATGAGCCTCCCTTCACGACAACCGCGTCCGCGACACTCATCCCGTCCAGCGAGCTGGTGTACCCCCCTCAGCTGCCCGCCAGACCTCTGAACGACAACACAGACCTCAAGTTCCCTTCCGACTTTGTATGGGGCGTAGCTGCCAGCGCATGGCAGATCGAGGGAGGTCTCCAGATCGAGGGTCGTGGCCCTGCTGTTCTCGACGTCGTCGGTGTCAACGGCCAAGGACTGCTCGGCACCAACGACTCGAATGTTGCAGACATGCACTACTTCTTGTACAAGCAGGATATCGCGAGGCTTGCGGCCCTCGGCGTGCCGTACTTTTCCTTCTCCATCTCATGGACTCGTGTCGTGCCCTTTGGCAGGGCGGGCTCGCCGGTCAATCAGCAAGCGTTGGATCACTACGACGATGTCATCAACACGTGCCTCGAGTACGGCATCACTCCGGTCGCGACGTTGATGCACATCGACAACCCAGTTGGCATCTTTGACAATCTTGACGAGTTCCCCAGTCACTACGCGTACTACGCCAAGCAAGTCATGGCGCGGTATGCGGACAGAGTGCCGTACTGGGTCACCTTCAACGAGCCAAACATCGCCGTACAATTCACCCTCCCCAGCTACGACGGCTTGACAGCCTTCCTCCTCGCCCACGCCGACGTCTACCGCTGGTACAAGGACGTCCTCGGCGGAACCGGCAAGATCACAATGAAATTCGCAAACAACCTCGCCGTGCCCCTGGACCCGGCCAACCCGGACGACGTCGCAGCCTCCTACCGCTACCAGGACTTCATCCTCGGCATCATGAGCAACCCTCTCTTCCTGGGGAAACAGTTCCCCGACGTAGTCCTCAACACACCCAACATGAACAAAACGCTCACAAAATCCCTGACCGACGAACAACTCGCCCACATCAACGGGACAATGGACTACTGGGCCTTTGACCCCTACGGCGCCCAGTACGCCACAAATCCACCAGGCGGCTACGAAGCCTGCGCGTCGAATTCCTCAGACCCCCTCTGGCCCTCGTGCGTAACGCTCACCACGATCCAAGCCAACGGCTGGGCAATGGGCGTAATCTCCGAAGGCGGCGCGCTCATCGCGCCGTCCTACGTTGGGGAGCAATTCGGCTACGTCTGGAACACGTACCGGCCTTCGGGCATCATGGTCACGGAGTTTGGGTTCCCGCAGCTGGCGGACGCGGAGACGTCGCTCGATGCGCAGAGGTATGATTTCGAGAGGACGATGTACTATCAGAACTTCTTGACGGAGACGTTGAGGGCGATTCACGAGGATGGGGTGAATGTCATTGGAGCGCTGGCGTGGAGTTGGATTGATAATAACGAGTTTGGGAGCTTTGAGGCGCAGTATGGGATGATGGGTGTGAATCGGTCGGATCCCGGTTTGGCGAGGTGGGTGAAGAGGAGCTTTTTCGATTATGTGGATTTCTTTCAGAGTCATATTTAGTTGTTGTAGATACTTTGGAGGTAATACGTGATTAATCCTCAAAGATGAGAATTTACTGGGTAAAGTACGATTTCGAGGGTTGGTGTTAGTGCAACAGGTGACATCGGTTCTAGTAATCGGCTATTGCGGCTGTCTTATGTCAGAGTCTCCGACCATCCTGGCCTATCCACGTTTTCCATCATGTCAGACTTTATGACGATCTTTCGGAAAGCCATCCAATCTGGACTTTACCGGCCGCTAGACGATGCTAAGCTTACGGCAGCTGCATAGACTGACCCCAAAAATTGGCTTCGTTTCCAAAGTTCCAAACGCCTGGGTTTTAGCTGCCTGTGTACTAACGTACCACCAGCTGACGTGAGAAACTCATTTGAATCTAGGGATGTGGGTTAGAAGGATTGGAATCTGTGACGACCACTCCTTTCTCCACTTAGAGATCGCGATGTATAAGAAGGAGACCGGCGAGGGACTACTGGATTTTCATTTTTGGTCTTTTCTTGGCATGTTTATTGTACCCATATCCTGGTGCGCATCCATTCCATCTAAGTCGGTGGCAGTATAAGATTCACGACAATGGCAGACGAAACCATCCACCGCCTCATCCCACATGTCGTGGACGAGCAGGCGGCACAGGATCCAGAGCGCATCTGGGCTTCATACGCCATCAGCAAGGACATCGCAAAAGACGGGTTCCGCGACGTCACCCTCCGCCAACTGTCACGAGCAGTCGACCGAGTGGCATGGCACATTGAAGCCAACATCGGTAAGAGTAACATATTCGAAACGTTGCTCTACTTTGGCCTTCCCGACATCAGATACGCAATCAACATTTTCGCCGCCATGAAAACGGGCCACCAGATCTTGCTGTGTTCTCACTTCAACAGCTTGATCTACAACTTGAGTCTCTGCGAGAAGAAAGATTGTCACGACGTGATGCGGAGCGAAGGCGTAGATGCCATGGTTGATCCGCTGCTTCAAGCGAGACCGATGAAGACGTTTCAAGTACCGACTCTCGACGCACTTCTTGCCGACGACGAAGCTGTGGAGCCGTATCCTTACACAAGGACGTACGAGGAGGGCATCGACGATCCAGCTGCCATCGGACACACCTCAGGCACCACGGGGCTCCCTAAACCCATCACATGGACGCAGAGGTCCTTTGTCGTCGTCGATACCGTCTGGCGCTTCCTCCCAGACCTCGACGGCCGACCGTCCTATCACAAGCTCCTCTCGAGGGCGGAGCGCTGCTACCAGACCATGCCGATCTTCCATCCCTTTGGCTTCTTCTCCGCCGTCACCGACCCCCTCTACCGCAAAAAGGTCCTTGTCCTGGGACCGAATACACTTGGTCCGATTCCGCCGTCGACGCTTGAACAAATGTTTGAGTATGGCGACTTTGATAGCTTGGCTGGGGTACCGATCTACCTAGAAATGGTTGCAAAGTCCCCCAAGTGCCTCGACGCTGTCGCGAAGAAACTGAAGTTCATTTTTTACGCGGGCGGTGCCCTCAGCAAGCCTGCCGGCGACGCACTTTCAGCCCGCACAAAGATTGACCAGCTCATCGGGTCCACCGAAGCCGGCGCCGCTCTAGGCCACGAGACGGACCGCGAGGACTGGGACTGGCTCTGTCTCAATGATGAGGAGAGCGGGATCGTTTGGGAACCCTGCGAAGTCAAGGGCTTCGGATCCGAAGGAGAGGCGGAAGAGCAAGTCTATGAGATGACGTTTGTGAGGAACGCCAAGGCGGAGAAGCAGCAGCACGTCTTCTGGCACAGTAATGTCGAGGACGTCTTTCGAAGCAATGATTTGTTTGTGAAGCACCCGACCAAACCGCACCATTGGAAGTTTTACTCGAGGAGGGACGATATTGTCGTGACCAAGTTTGGGTGGAATGTGAATCCCATGTTGTTGGAGAGGGAGATTGCGCAGCATCCGGGGGTGAGTCACGTTGTTGTTGGCGGGACGGGGAGGCGGCATATCTGTGCTGTGATAGACCTCGTTGATGATGGTCAGGGGACTGAGGAAGAGGAGATGTTGGATGGTATTTGGCCGATGGTGCAGAAGGGTAATGATATTTTGGATGCGGCTGGTCAGTTGGCCAAGGAGAGGATTTTGTTTAGTCGGAAGGAGAAGCCGTTTCCTATTGCTGGGAAGGGGAATGTCCAGAGGGCGGCGGTTCTCAAGCTGTATCAGGACGATATTGATGACATGTATGCCAGAGTTGGGGATGGACCTGGATTGTAGACGGGCAAAAGATTGATCTCGAGTACGTGGAAAAAACATCGAGGAGATGTATGCAGCTTCACTTAGCTTCTCTCAACATATCAAAGGTTGAATATCGTTTGCTATTGCCGCTTCGAGTTTTTGACTGGCTTTCTAAACCCAGGAACGTACCATACATTGTTTCTCCATGCTGAGATGTAGTTTGCCGTTGTTTCTAGTAAGTCGGTTGGAGGAGTTTTAGCTTAGTGAGTTTACATAGCAAGAGATCTGCTGATAGAATGGTCATCGACGAGCGTCGAGAAGGACAGTTTCGCTCATAGGAACATGCATCAAGTCATATTAACAACTGCGGTAACCATACAGCTTTGTTCACATTGACTTAACAAATAGATTCCCAAACGTGGACCATGGTAGACTCTTCTTTGGGTTTGTCGTTATCAGACAAGATAATGCTACCCATAGCTAAGATAACTGGCACTAGGTAGGATGTCGGATAATTTTCGTATTACGGTCAACTATCGATCGGGGCCGAAGACGATACGATGTCTCGCATTCGTAACGGCAACATATCAAGAGTTGATTTCCAATGATCGATCTAGCCTCGACTGGCTCGTATCAAGTTTTCAACAATTGACGATGCATCTACGCTGAAAAGCGAGACCGAGATCTCTCTCAATTTGGTGTCTTCCCAACGATAGATGACTAAAGCAGCGGACTTTCAGTTTGGTGCAACATTGCCAGTCGTTGGATTTGTAATCCGTCCTTGAAGCCCATGCTTTGCCCCTCATCTGATGTGGTGGGCCGTGGGTGCGATCACCACCACACGTGGCGGGGCCCTCGGAAGCGGCTCGCCCTGACCTGCGTCTCCTTTCACCGAAGCAAGCTCCGTGTCTGATTGGAGATGTTGGGGAGGGGGACCATGTGGTTTTAGCGGGTGTTCCCTTGTCCGAGATAGGAATGGAACCTAACGCTGTGTGCTGATGGAGTAGTAAGGTATCCTCTTTTCGGGAACGGATTCGGGATGGAGACTGGATGCATGGAATCTAGAAGTATAAAGAAGAGCTTCAGGTCTCGGAAGTCTTGACGTCACTCGTCTGAATATTGGAGCTTCAATTCTTATACTTCTCTTTAACAGTCGTTTAAAACCTCAAGTATACCCTACTCCATCCGAACATCAACGCTACCTAAAACGCTACATCAACATCATTCATCAGCAAAGCACACTACCACCCAGCATGAAGGAAGCCATCGTCAACCCCGACTGTTCCGTCGAAGTCAAGGACTCTCCCATCCCCGAGCCAGGACCAGGCGAACTCCTCATCAAAGTCATCGTCTCCGGCACGAACCCAAAGGACTGGAAACTCCCCTTTTGGTTCCAAGCCGCCTCCAACTCGGGCGATGACGTAGCCGGCACAGTTGATAAGGTCGGCGCCGAGGTCTACGAGTTCGACAAGGGCGACCGCGTCGCCGGGTTCCACATCATGCGCACCGCCAACGGCAGCTTCGCAGAGTACGCCATCGTCCCTGCCTACACCGCCTTCCACCTCCCCGCCAGCGTGTCCTACGAGGAGGCCGCGACGGTGCCGTTGGCGGCGTATACCGCTGCCACGGCGCTGTTTCACTCGCTGGAGATCCCTTCGCCCTGGGACCGGAAGAGGGAGACCAAGACGCCTGTCGTGATTTACGGCGCCAGCACGGCGATTGGGGCGTTTGGTATCAAGCTTGCTAAGAAGGCGGGCGTGCACCCTCTCATCGCCATCGGAAGCAAGAACAGCGCCTTTGTGACGCCTCTTCTAGAGGAGGACAAGGGCGACGTTTTCTTGGACTACACGCAATTCGAGTCGCAGGACAAGCTGGCGGAGAAGCTGAGGGAGGTCATCAAGGCGACCGGACAGCGGTCATTCAGGGTCTTTGACACGGTCAGCGAAAAGGGATCGTACCAGATGCTCAGCAAGGCCATCGCGGGCCCGCCTGAGGAGGGCACGGGGTTCAAGCCACGGATCACGACGGTGTTGCCCGGACACGACTTCAGCGACGTCGACCCCAGCGTCGAGGTTGTTGTCACGAGCGTCGGGTTCGTGCACGAGGAGGAGGGGCAGGGTAGGCTGTTTGGGTTGATTTGGGCGCGGGTGTTTGCGGAGGCGCTGAGGACGGGGTGGATGAAGGCACACCCGTATGAGGTTGTCAATGGTCTCGAGGGCGTCAAGACTGCTCTCGACGGATTAAAGAATGGTACTGTCCGCGCCAAGAAGATGGTCATCCGTGTTGCGGACGGCAATTAAGTGATGAGATGTAGGTCGTTGTGTAGTTGAGCGCATGCAGATCAAAAAAAGTGCTTGGCCTAAATAAGGTGCTTACGGCTTGCGCGGGATGTGTTTGCCACGTGGGATCGCAGATGATGACTGTCATTTAATCTATTTTTGTTCTCTTCCGCATTCCATCGGAGGATTCTCCAGAAGATGCGGCATGCTATCCCGAGTAGACGGACGCTCCCCGTTAATACCACCGTTCAGTCCCGATCAGATCAAGCAAATGCTGGCCTCCGGAACGCCTTTCGATTCGTAGCTTACATTCTAAAATCACGCCAAGAAACATAGGGAAATGATGGACTCTGGACGCGAAAGTCCCCGAGCCAAATGAATGATATCGCCGAGAAGCTCGACTGGGTCTCCGGGCCTCAACTACGCCATGCCGACGTGAACGTCCTTGCCCTTGACACTCTTCCACTCCACAAACACCGAGCCGAGGATGGTCGCAGAGGCAGTCACAGCGCTCACTAGGAACGCCTGTGCCAGGGCGTCGCTGTAGGCATGCTCTACCGCAGGTAACAGGGATGGATCGATGATCTTGCGGATACCTGTCACGCCCGCGGCGATGACAGAGTGGGGGTCAATGGTTGGAATGTACTCGACCAGGCTCTCTGTGAGCTTGTTGGTAAAGACCGTCTGGCCGATGGCGACAAAGATGGCGCCGCCGACCGTTTGTGTGAAGATAATGATGGCGGTTCCCGTGGGAACATCGGCTATGTCGAGGACCACCTGCACAGCCATCAGAGGCTGCTGCATGGCGGCGCCGACTCCAGCGCCGGCGAGGATTTGGTAGCCGATCCACATCGCGGAGGACGTGTTGGGGTTGAAGGTGGAGATGAGACCATATCCGATTCCCATGAGGATCGAGCCGAGAATCATCCACGGGGTGTACACGCCCCAAATAGTGACAGCGGCACCAGCAACGAGTGAGGCGATGATATTGCTGACCAACATGGGCAGGTTTCTGACTCCAGAGTTGACGGCGGAGACACCCTGGACGGACTGGAACCAGATGGGAAGGAAGTAAACGGACAAAAGGAATGCGGCACCGGTGTTGAAGGCAAAGAAGGAGGATGACCAGACTGAGCGCTGCTTGAAGATGCGCGGCGGAACTGTGGCGTTTTCCTGGCCGAGGTACTGCAAGTAGAGGAAACCTGCCATACCGAAGCCGAAAATCAGGAAGAGAACGATGACGCGGGCAGAGGCCCAGGGGTAGGTGACGCCACCCCAGTGAAGGGCGAGAAGAAGACAAATGATGGCCGGCATGAATAGCATGTTTCCAAGAGGGTCCATCTGGATGAAGCGCGTACGCCATGTCTCCTGGGGAATGGAGCGGACCGGGTCAGGGAAGAAGAAGAGAATGACAAAGATGGTGACTGCTCCCTATTCACGATGTTAGCACAGTGACATCAAAGAAAAGGCATCAAGATCAACTTACAATCGGCAGGTTAATGTAGAAACACCATCGCCATGTCAGACTATCCGTAAAGACACCACCTAGCAAAGGACCAGCAACGGACGAGATACCCCACATGCTACCGACGGCACCGGTGTAGATGGGCCGTTTCTCGAGGGGCACGCTGTAGGCGAGGATGATGAGTGCCCCGGCAAAGATGCCGGCTGACCCGACTCCGGCAATGGCACGGCCAATGATAAGGGCAATACTGTTGGGCGCGATGCCACATATCAAGCTACCCAGCTCGAAGATGCCGATGGTGATGAGATACACCCACTTGATGCTGAAGAAACTGTAAAACTTGCCAAAGAGTAGCTGAAGTGAGGCCGTTGTTAGGAGGTAGGCACTGCCGTACCAGCCGACGTCTTCTAAGCTCTTGAACTCGTCCGTGATCCGCGGGATGGCAGTGGCTATGATGGAGTTGTCTACGAGACGGCGGTGGTCAGCTGTGGCTCTACGTTGTTGAGTGCGTGTGCATGTATAGGGAGTCCCTTACCAAGAGCCATCAAAAACACACTGAAACACAAGGCAGTAACAATCAGAGCCAGCTTCATCCCCTGGGGGTACTCGGCGTTGTCTTCATCGTTCACGATCTCGGCCCGTTCTGACTTGACAGAAGGTATCCTTGATAGCTCGCTATATGGGACTGGAGGGAGCAGGATAGGGTCGATTCGTATATCTTGAAACGACGCGGCGGAGCTCGCAATGTCTTTTTCCATTTCATCGTAGTTTGAGCTCGAGTCACTCGGTGTTAGGGTTGACGCTCTTGACTGCAGGAATGTCGGAGGAGCCATGAAGGACGGCACCGCGGCCTTCTGAGCGTCGAACATATTGGCGACGGCGACGACGACGATGATGACGAGAGGGTCGACTGCTGTAGAGAGGGTTGGGAAGGCCTACAAGTGCCAGTGAAGTAGAGTCGGGTACTCGGAATGGAGGAGTGACACGATGCGGAAGGCAGGTGAGATGGCAACGCTACTCTGTTGATCTTGTTTGTTTATCCTGACGAGGAGACTGGGAAACAAGGATGGGGGAGAAAATCGCGGATTCTATATAGATCAAGTTAAGTGTGTTGGGCGTGTCAGTCCTTGGGGACTTCCGACCAGGCTCATGGCCTTGCCGAGGACCTGGATGCTGGGGTCGGAAGCAGACGGTGATGGTCGCTCTGGGAGGGCAGAGAGCGCAAGTCCCCGAGACACTTGTCTGGGTTCCCATGTCACACCGGCTTGCTTCCGGCAAGGGGAGGAGTGCAGAATGTGAGGTAGCGCTGACTCTGACTCTGGCTGGTGAACGGGAAGCGGGAAGCGGACGCCAAGGATCGGTCTCTTGATGTTGTACAAGAGACGGTACCCTGGGAGGGGGCCAGACGTTGTCTCAGATGTCTTGGGGGCTCTTCTTCCATGCGCCGAACGGTGTGCTGTGTAAGCTGGAGCCATGCCCGGTGGCGTAGTCGGGATGATGATGATGACGAACCAGGACAAGATACAGTAAGTAGACGTTGGCCGGCAAGGCAACTCAGCAAGCGCCGGCACTGAGCATGCACACGGTACTCGGATTGGGGTAGGAGCATGTCATCCCCCCGTCGCACTTGAGGCTAGGCAGTAAGGGCAGCGGAAGGACGCGACGCCCACACGGAATGGCGAAAGACGGGAGGCTCCAAGGCCAGAGACGGGTAGGGAGCGTCATCGGCGGGTTCCTACTAAACCCCGAGCCATTGGATGTTAGCAGATGGAGGTTGAACCAGCAGAGATGGGCCGGCAAGGGAAATTCAAGAGAGACGAGACGGATCAGGGTGAAAGACAATTGCTCGGTGATGGGATGAGCGAAGGCATCTCGAGGTCGCACGATAAGGGCCTCAAGCTATGGGAAGTGGCGGCAGGCTGCTTCTTCTGCACGATACTGCAATCAGTTCGAGGGTCTTAGATGCCGCTCACTTAATGCGTCTAGCCTGACGTTGAACTGTTGAATGCAAGTGCCCGAAAGATTGATCCATGGTTGTTGACGTGCAATTCGATAGATGTCAACGGCACCGCGCAACGTCCTCCGTTTGCTCTGCGTCCATTTCCGGGAGACGAATACGTACCGCCGGGCCTGTGGTTTCGATCACGTGAAGGTACCGCACGTTAGTCATCACCCATGCTCGATGATGACTAAGGCCAGGGCAGTCTCCTCTGCTCAACCAACATCCTCAGTCAACGTCGACATTCCACAAACATCATTCAAGCGTCAATCTCGGCTTCTCAATCATTGGACTGTCTCGAATCTGTCCAGTGTCCTTCTTCGGCATATTCGAAAGACTCTCCAGGAAGCGAGAGACTACGCCGCATGGAACCAACACGAACAGGCCCTAGCGAAGTCGTTAGATCCAAGCGGCCAGACGGAGCTCCCCCAGTTCTCATTCGGCGGTGAGGCTTAGCATCACGGAGGGAGTCTTGCAAGGACCATAGCTACGCCCGCCCATCTCTTGTCACTTGTCAGATCTGGTTGCACCACAGACTCGACACCCCAGATTGTCCAACCATTGGGAGAGTTTCCAGCGTTTTGGTCGCAACCGGGAGAACCCTCGCTGCCTTCGTGGGTCCGAAATGCATTCCTGCCGCCCTGTCAACCCGACTTGGGTCGTTTGGGTCTCCGACTTGGGTTCTATTGTTTCTCAATGTGTCACCTCGTTGTATGACAACTGTCTACATCTCCTCCTCAAGTCTTCCTGATAATTGCTGGCCCATCGTTTGTTCCATCGGCATTCTAGGTCTCCTTGACTAGGGTCTACCCCTTGCCTTGCCTGTTATCACGCTGTCGATGGAGGACGCGGCCAGGCTCGCACACCTCATATTGACGGCCATCAACTCGGCGACTCAACTACTCGTCATAGAAGGCCTCTTGTGTCTATAAAGACAAGAGATCATGCCCATGAACACGATGACACACGTGGCTCAAGATCGATGGGAGGTTACATCCACGACACCACGACACGCGCTTCTGCTACTGAGATGGGATCGGCGCTACGTTTCCTTTTGACACAAACGCGATGCTAAAATGTTTATGCAGTCAGTCTGCTCAATACCCATATTCAGACGATCTTACCTCGCCCTGTCCTTATCTTCCCGCGTGGGGCATGGTACTCGACATTTTCTCTATGCCGCTTCCCCCACAAGGCCGCGAGACACAACACCTCGATCGAGGCACATACCTACAATGTTTGTGTTGTAATTTCGACATGTAACCGCTTTCCCGGCCCTTGCGCTCTGCCACGAGTCTTTACGCCGTCTCACTGCACCAACTTCATGCCATCCACTTTGACAAGCCCTCTGCCGTGGATCAACTCGGCCTTAGGGTCCTTCACCAGCAATTCAACGATGCCTTTACGTCAAGATGCTGTTGTCGGCGGCCGGTATTACCGCAGTACCAGACTAGAAATGTCTCGGGAGTGAAAGACACCATTGGCGCCGCCACAAAGTATTCAACGTATTCCAGATCGTCTACATATCTTCTTTGAAAGCTGGCCTCTCGCTCTCTCGCCCCTATTCAGCACTAGCTCAACCCGTCCCCCTGTTCACAAAGCCGTTGATACCATGCGAGGATTCAGCCAGAGGCGCTTCGAAACAAGTGGCTGCCATCGCTGCAGTGCTTTGCAGGCGCACCTGTCAAAACCACCGCCGAATCCATGCTCCGTCCACTTATTGCGGCTGATCTGAGACATGATCGAGCAATGTATTCGGCGACAAGACTGTTCCAGAACTCGGCCCATTGCGGGCATTTGACGAGCAACCGCTGAAGGAGAGCAATATCGCCATCGACACCGACATCAACCACGGCTGCCGGCATGCCCGCCAGTGTCTTTGACTGACGAGCAAACAAATGATCCGATGAGGCAATGGCGGTTCCACTTCAACATGCGTGTGGAACACTCGGTCGTCTGTTGTAACCCCTAAATGCGGTTTGCACAGCGAGGTTTCACAAGCATTACTTGCAGCACACACGGCGGACATCGTTCTTATCTCTCGTCGCTTGAAGCGTTTGCCTCCACTTCAGTCCATGTCTTTGAATTGAATATCCGGCCCGCTATCGTTTGTGTCAGCTGCATACCGAGATCGAGGTTCTGGGCCATGGCCCCAGGACTATTTAACCGCTTCGGAGCTTGAATCTCGTTCAGGGTGTTACCAAACTCGCTTGCTCTAGGTACATGCTTGCTCAGAGAAGAGCGCATCGCGGCCACCCACCTGTCTTATCCTCTACAGTGGGAATGACTCCGTCGAGACCCGTCGGAAAATGACTAGCCTGAGTTCTGGCAAAGTTAGAATGGCCAGCTTTGTCTCCAATGTCTATTTCTATGTGCCCGGCGTCAGGGGCCGACGGCTCCTTCGTCTACTCTATGATCAGCCGGAAATGCAACGCCGTGCTCCATTTCTATCTGTTGGTATACACGTCAGCAGGGCAACCGTACGGTTGGAACGAAGTGTCAATAATGGTCTATTATTGCTGGGTGTATAGGTGGAAGGAGGAGATTGTGGGCAGAGCCCACTGTTACGCCCGCCGCAACTTGTCACTGTGGGCGCGTAGCTATATAATGCAGAACAAGGGACAATGATGCCGGAGTCATCATTATCGAAGCTTTTGCTTTGTGCCACAGTTGGTTGCCTTGTCCAGCTCGTAACATTTTCATAGCGGTCGACTAGTAGAAGTGATCGTAATTAATAATATAAGCTCTCGAAGCCTCTATTATTAAGAAAATAGAATAGTTATGTATAATATAGAACGGACCGGATTCTACTAATAAGTCCTAATTACCTAAATTAATAAATAAAGAGCTGATTATTAAATCGGAACTGACTTTTTTAAAGCCCGTGTGCCCTTATTAATCTAAGGTAACTAGTGGAGTTTAATTACTGATTAGTATTAATATATATGTTAGTAGGGTAACCGTATGGTTGGAACGAAGTGTTAATAATAGTCTATTATTACTATATATATAGGTGGAAGGAAGAGATTGTGGGTAGAGCCCACGATCTCCCAGAAGTGATATGTAAGTGAAAGGGCCGTTTGTAAGTGCCCATACCGCCTTCCAGATCCATCTTTTCTGCCGACTGCTCAGAGATCCAACACTATCTATTAGTCTATGTCTCTTATCACTGTACTCTCATTCTTTCATGCAACTGTCGGCCCAGTCCAGGAGTCGACTCTGATTCGAGATGGACCGCCTGCTCCCATTATCAGGACGTTTTCCTCGAGGCAGCTTGTATTTATCCCAAGCCATTTCGATACCCAGCGATTTAAATCGCGAAAATAAAGAGTCTATGCAGTTCAGATCGATGTCCCCTTTGCCTGCAGGCTTGTCAAACTTGACCTGAATAACCTCCAGATTGGGCGACGCGAATGAAGATTCTTCGGCAAACCGTCTCAAATGTCCCATGCAGCCTTGGTCGGCATGCAAGATCTCAAACTGACGAATGGATGCCGGCAGGGCTTCAGCCAAGCTCCATCCGGTATGTAGACCCATGCCGTCTTCCGAGGGAGCTGCTCGCCGGCTAGTGTCGATAGCAGCTTGGTCAAACGCAAGTTCCTCTAGATGCTCAAAAGTGCGAAAGGACCAAGCTATCCCGCCAGCAGCAAGCGGCCGGGAGTCTTCCCTAGGTGATCGTTTAGACACATGGGAAAGACGCAATTTCCGTAAATTATGGCGAATCGGGTCAAGTGTCTGGAGCAGTTTCGATATATCCCAATAGTCGATCCCTGAGTTGCCGTAGATTTCCTTTGCTGTGACCGCCAGCTCCTCCAATCTTGGGCAGCACTTCACCAGCAGACTAAGATCATCGAAGCTTATCTCACTCAGCGATAATCTTCGTAAATTTGCCAATTTCAGCATCCAAGGCTTGACGAGAGTCCACGGACTATGACCGTCAAAGAGACTGCACTGCATTGAATAGAGATTCTCGAGATTCGGCGCCGCGCTGAAGAGCGCAGAGGCTTCGTAGATGTGATGGTTCTTTCTGACGCCCCTGAGAGCAATCGTTCGTAATGCAGGGAAAGAAGCCCGGCTGTCCCTGATATGCTCATAATCCACAAAGCTATCCCGGGCCACCAGAAGCATAGCGACATTCGGTGATAGGAGAATTGCCAGCTCTTCGAGCCAGTGGTGTATCTTCCGCCGCTGGATTCGCAACAATTTCTCTGGCTGGCCGGAAAATTCACTCCATATCTTCGTCTGGAGATAGTCTCTGCTTGGAGCGTGCCGTAGAGCACCAACGTCTTCGGTCGCTTTGATGAGGAGGGGAGCTAGATCTGGCGTGCACCCGCTGATCACATCGTTCTCTACCAGCTGGAGCGTTCTGATGTGAGATGCCAGGTCCGGACGCTGTATGATGCTGCGCAAGAAGAGGGATAGCCTGTCGTCGTGAGCATCGTCTTGTAAACGGTTGCTAGACTGTGCTCCGATGTCGCAATCATGTCCTTGAGGTAACCCGCCCGTGGCGTAGTCGTGGAAAAGGAACGGCTGAGTGACGGCACAAATACGTCTAGATACGCGACAAAGCCGCGATAGTGCCCTTTTGCTCAGTCGATAGTCGTCGGTTCCGGCGTCGGGGAACGTCCCTGGGTGTTGACAGTGGAAGCAGAGCAAAGAGCAGATCTGCTTCACGAGCTCGAGGGGCAGCGAAGCCATGTCCTCGTGGATGATCGCCGAGCTTGGCTAAGTCTACAGGCACAAGCTGCGTGGGTATGTCAACAATTTGATCGCTCAATTTCGCCATAACGAAAGCATGTGCGAGGTCGGCCATGGGCCGATCCAAGTGCGTAATTATATCTTGCGATAAGCATGCTCGACCTTGAGAAAATGAAGAACGCGTCCCGACGAGCGTGCTCGACGTTTACCACAGTGATGCTAGCTTGACAAGGTTGACCTGTGTTGTCAAAAGTCTGCTGTTAATATACAGCTGCAGGTAATTACCGGCTCATTTCGCGGCGAACCTTGCCCTCCGCGGAACCCCTGGGAATTAGCCATGTGATTTAAGCTTTTTCAATTAAAAAGTGCCCGCCTATTCGCGCAAACGCACTGCTCTCATCCCGGGTCTTCCGATGTGTGTTTATGCTCTGACCAACGGTTGAACGGCAATACGACGCCGGCGCCGGCGTTTTCGGAGGCCATCCTAACGCCCCGCAGCCTACGCAGTACATCTATGGTTCTCTAAATATATCCCATCGGGTGCTGAATAGCTCCATTTTTGCCAATACCCAAAATATCCACTTTTACACATTATTACCCCGCATCTAAAGGGGTACTTGACGATACGTCATTTCACCCTATGCTCCTTTACCTAGTTATCATCACCACTATTACTACTATTTTGAATGATGCAGTAATGTCTTCTAGTGATTCTGATACCTCTATTGCTTCGGATGCTTCTGTTACTTCTGTACGCAGTTGTATAGTAGTTGAGGTCCTTCCAGAAGACCTGACTGCTGCTTATAATATAGACTGTATACTAGAGCGCTGTGACGCATTAATAGTTCGGCCCCACGAACCTCCGGCTACCGACCATGGACCTCCAGGCTCCTTCTAACCCTTTAACGTGCCGGCCCGGGCCTAAGAAATACAGGATCTGCCGGCAAGCCCGCTTGATCTATTTGTCCAATACGTTCCGTAGGGCCTTGTGGAGCAGTGGGCCTAGTGGACGAATGCGGCGCCGCTGTCTAAGGAGGGCCCGCGGGCTAGAACGTTTAGAGTATATAAGTGGAGGAAGACTTCAGCAGCTGAGATCTACCTCTTCTTAGGGATCCTATTATATATAGGGATCCATAGGGAATCTAGATTATCAACCTACTGGTCAACCCAGTAGCAAAAGGAGGATCCTATCTACCTATTTACGCGGTTTATATCCCGGGACCGTTTCCAGCTACTACTCCAGCGACTGCGGATATTCAACACTGCTGAATTCCAGCCTAGCCAGCCTAGCCAGAGCCAGGGCCGGGGCCGGGGCCGGGGCCAAGATCAAATGCCGGATGTATACCGGAAGGTTAACCAGTGGTCAGCCCATATCCAAGAGACTGGAGATTCTCTCTATCCCATCGAGTGCTGTTAGGCTACAGATACATTCACAAAAGGGATCCTGACCACTCAGGGGCAGCTAAGAGTTTTCTTAACCAATCAATGGCCCTATTTAAAAAGTACTTCGGTTACCTATATATTTTAAGTATAATAGAGGTAGTTACTAGTAATTATTAAAGTTATAAATTATAACCCTATAACTACTACTTATATCCTGATCTCGTCTTTTTTCTCCTCTCTCTTTGTAAGTTCCGTATGACTTTACTTAATGTTATTTATTTATTATTATAAAATAACTAAGTAAGTAAAGGGTTTCCGTAATACCCTTAACGTGGTTCATCAGTCAGCCGGCCGGACCAGTCAGCCGGACGTTTTTTCCCACGTCCACAACAACATCTAGTATTTCTCAACCACAACGCATTAAATCAATTATTGGTTATCGCTATCAGAATCTCCTGATGATTTGACATCTTTGGAACAGGTTCGTGCATTATACCCAGTCTTACCACACGCACCACAGCGTCTCCGAGTCGGCTGGGCTCTCTTTGATGGACCCCCCTCCTCATCCTCTCGAGGTGCTGGACGTTTACCTTTTTGTTTCTCTTCCAGCAAACCCTGAGATTCCTCTATACTAAGTGCCCCTCCAAGCTGCACACGCGACCTTTTAGCCCTCCGATGCTTAGCAAGTGCTACATTCGCATCCTCAAGGGTACGAAGCCGATCAGTCAAAATAGTGATTGAGTGCGCCATTGCCTACGCACCCTTTGACAATTGCTCAACTACAGCAATAATTGGTGTCGGTGAGCTTCCTTTATGAGCAGAGATCCGGCTTTTGATAAAGTTAGACTTTGAGACGGCTTATTATAGGTTAGAGGGCGTTTGCGACTGCCAAGGTGGTGGTGTTGAAGGGTTGGCCATAGGAGGTGTAGGCGTCCGTAAATGCACATCAAGCTTTTTGATAACATAGTCTGGGTCCCAAGGTGAAATTCCAGCGCCTTGGAAAGCAGACCTGATGTTTTCCTCATTAAAAACCTTGTTGTGGGCCTGGTGGAAGGCAATAAAGAACTCAGACTTGGTAATGTGATTTATGGAGGCTCTAATAAATAGGTTGATTTTATCACCGTATGCGCGTTTTAAAGGCGAGTAAAGCGCAATGTCTAATGGCTGTAATAGATGCGACGAATTTGCAGGCATACTGACCGTTACAATATTGTTCTGCTTGCAGTAATCGTCGAATTCGGCCGATAAATGGCTCTCATGGCCGTCGATAATGAGCATCCGGTAGACGCCCTTAGTTCGGTTCTTAGTATGTTTGTCGAAGTGTTTAATCCAGTCAAGACCCGTCTGATTATCCGTCCATCCATTAGCAGTGGGCTTGATGACCCAGTTGCCCGGAAAACCTGATTCCGTGGTCCAACCGGCAAGGTGATGTACGCCCTTGACGATCACGAACGGAGGGATGCACCACCCGCCCGAATTGATACATTCAATGACTGTAGCACATTCACGGTTACCCGGCTGGACAGACTTTGCTTTACCGCGTCGATCGGCGCGTATTACTACTATTAACGCGGTGATCATGCCCATCATGAAGCCAGTCTCGTCGAAATTATATAGGTCCTCCTCTTGGATTCCATACTTGGTCATCATGTTGCGTAACAACACAAACCACTTTGAAATAACCTCTGGGTCTTCTTTAAGAGCCCTTTCATAATCGTATGGACGATTCAACTTGGTTTTCAGAGCAGGCTGTGAGTCCACAAACCGCCTGGCTTATCGCTTGCCAACAGGCTCGGCATTACGCACTCGCAGCAGGAGATTGGCCATATTTTCCACACCGCCAAGGCGCAAAGGAAATCCTCTAGAATCCTGTTCAATAACGTATTAGAGGAGTGTTTTCTCTTCGATCGGATCGAGTTTATATCGTTGGGGTTGAGTTTGTTCGCGTCGCGGTCGGTTATTTATTCTATCGGCTAAGGTGCTCTTCGGGATACCGTAGGTCTTTGCGGCACGCGAAATGCTCAAGTTACTACCTACAGCGCGTATCGATCGGATCGCTTCAATCGCAAGAATGACTTTGTCTTCTTGGGTGTAGATTGGCATTATGGTTGTTGAGATTTTACACGTCAAAGGTTTAAGTGGTTTGGACATAAGTGTGTTTAGAAAAAAACGTCCGGCTGACTGGTCCGGCCGGCTGACTGATGAACCACGTTATATATTATTACTATAGAATAGAATTCTCTTTTATATTAGTAGCCCTCTGGGGCCGGGCCCGTTACCTCTTATAAACTAATAGCCTAAAGTACTAAATTAACCAGGTAGAAAGGGTCCTTCGCTATTTATATTAAGAGTTAGCCCGAGCCTATTCCGGCTTACCCTAGTGTTACGGCCAGCTAGTCGTAGGGGTAGTTTGCAGAAGTTGAGGCTGCGGAACTGGTAACAGTAATCGTAGTCGGGGATAGCTTCAGGGAAGCTATGTCTGTCAATCGTAAGGGTAGGTAAGGCTTCGGTGATCAATCGTAGTCTTGTCAAGGTAGTAGCTGAAAGCGGATGTTAATCCTGATACGAAGTTAATTGCTGAAGAGCTATGGAAAGTCTGTCCTAGAGTCCGGCTCGAGTCCATCCTATATACAAGTCTTGATTCTGAACATATCCTTTATCCGTATGTTTACCATACGGATTCGGTATTCTGAACATACGGGGTCCGTATTCTGAACATACGGGGTCCGTACCTCAAAGGGACGGACTCCGTATTCTTGGCATACGGCTTTCCTTATCTTATCATCACGTGACTTGCTCCATAGTTCTTCCGTTCCGTAGGGTGACGCATGTGTTCCCATAGTTCGTGCACTTATGGTGTGCCCTAGTCGCCGTGGTCCTGCGGGGCAGGCCCTGGACTTGGTCGTGCATGTCGGGTCGTAACACCTAGAGCTAGAGAAAGAAGTTAACTTATTAATAACTATTATTTCTAAGAGAAAGTTCTACGTAAGAGATTACTACCCCTCTTGTCGAATTCGCCGCCTATACTAGTTATAAGACTCTATTTAATCCCCTATATTAACGCCGTTTATATTATAATTATAATTATCGATCTATATATGAATAGGTGGTTTCTTTTAAGCTTTTAGGCCAAAGACCTCTCGGGCGGTACGAGCGGCAACCAAGGACTTAGTAAGCGGGTAACGGTTCCGTAGTATCTACTTAGTATCGCGATAAATAGTTAGTTATAAATTAACTAATCAAAGGCTCTAAATAGCTTTAATTAATTAACTAATTAAGGGGAGGGACACGGCTGGTTTAGGAGCAACACACATCCTCAGCCAGTTTGGCACCACCATTGTGGTCTGAGTGTCTCTGTCAAGATGTCGGTTATGGGGAGAAGAGGCCCGAGGGAGATGGAGGTGTCGAGGAGCAAGTAATGGAAGCGGAGGTGTCTTTATCAGAGGATATTTGACTGTGCGACAGGCTGTGGTCGTAACCTGGAGGCTGAAGGCGATGCTGCGGTACGGAAAAAGCGTGAACGACAAGGTCTTGATTAGTGATTTAATTAGATGCCAGGGCCGGGGCTGAGTTGCCTACCTACTAGGCACCTGCCGCGGTCCGTACCTGCCTAATCCATCTGGATGGAGCCGCAGGGGCCCAGGCCCGACCCGTCTTACCTAGGTACATAGTAATTACCTGCGGCACGGGCGAGGCGAGGTGCCCACGGCCCAGTCTCCATCAGCCCACCTGGCCTAATTACCTACCTAACCTACCTCATCACATCACAACCTGGACCACATCAATACAACAGACCCTACTACTCTGTATCCAGACGCTTTTTTCACGCATGCAGGGACCAACCACCCACAAGGCGTCTGCCATACCCTGTGCCATAGCTCATCCTTCAATTATCTGCAGGTACGGATAGCCGACGGGCCCATCTCAAGCCGCAGTGAGACGGCGTCGCACCCACTGACAGAACAGGCGCGGGCCGCCTTGGGCCCGAGCTTCATGCGAGCTTATACAGACGACGGCCGACGACGCCGACGACGGAAACGACAATTTTACGCCAGGCGAAACACTCAAGTCGAGCTGGCGGACATTCGCAAAGTGACGACGCACGCTCACATCCGCAACGGCCAAGCCCAATTCCGACCCCGAGATCCAACGTCCGCCACAACGCGTTGGTTCAACCTTTTCCAAACCCCCGTCGGGGTGCCACTGGACCATGGGCGTTGTTGGTTCTAGTCCTGATCACCTGCCGAAAGATAGCTTAGCCTGCGGCAAAGTCTCGTCCACGTTGGTTTGAAGACCTTTGGTTCGGACGCCGCCCGAATATGGCATGCACCGAACCTCCAACCTCACTCCATCCTGATGCCGCTGGAGATTGCGCGGGGCTCATTTTTTAGCCTAAGCATTTTGAGCTGCTGCCTCGGTAGTAGCGGCCCTTGGAGCTGGGAAAACGGCTTCATCGGAAGGGTGAACGTGAGCTAGACCGCAGCCAGGCTCAGCGACGCACCGGACCCCGTCGCATATTCTCATCACCTCGGGCGCGTGCTGAAATCTCTCATGCAGGAAGCTGCTCTTCACCCCATGTCTCGTTCGATCATGACGGGGGGCCTGGCACCCGGTGTTGGCGGCCATCATCGTGACAAGCCGACGAGATTATGTCTGTCGTCCTCGTCAAGACGAAGTCGGGCCCCCATCCGGCCTATGTGATACCAGAGCGATATATAAAGCCCGCCGCCGTCCCCCGTCCTACTCACGAGTATCAGCATCGCCATTGAGCTCTCCTCTTTCTTTAGTAGTGAGCCTGCTTCCTCGGTTTTCAACATGAGGCTGCTCCATGTTCTGGGAGCGCTTCTGGCGTCGACCCAGGTGGCTGCTACCGCCGTCTTCGCACACTTTATGGTATGTTCGCCCTAGCAAACTTACAACGCCCACATCTACCCATCTGTCGTCGTGGAAAACTGACACTTGTCGCGGCAGGTCGGCAACACCCCAAACTTCACCGTGTCTGACTGGGTGTCCAACATGAACCTCGCCCAGGAGGCGCACATCGACGCCTTTGCCCTCAACATGGCCTATGACTGGTAGTACAACTACCCGGCCCTGGAGATGGCCTTCCAGGCAGCCCAGAGCACCGGCTTCAAGCTTCTTTTCTCCTTCGACTACGCCGGCAACGGCCCATGGCCCAAGGGCGACGTCTAAGCCCTCATCCAGAAGTACGGCGGCCAGTCGACCTACTTCCAGTATAAAGGCAAGCCTTTAGTGTCCACCTTTGAGGGTCCAAACAACGCAGACGACTGGGTCGGCATCAAGCAGGCCACTGGTTGCTTCTTTGTGCCTGACTGGTCATCCGTGGGCGCTGGGCCGGCCATCGCTTTGGCTGGCGGTGTTGCGGATGGTCTGTTCAGTAAGTGATGCCGCCATATTCTTGGATGTGACTGTCACATGCCCATTCAGTCGCTGACGTGGACCGCTTTTCGCCTTCTTCCAGGTTGGGCAGGTTGGGCCTATGGAAAGAACAACATGACCACCTACGTCGATGCTTCGTATAACCAGGCGTTGAAGGCCGGTTCCAAGCCGTACATGATGCCGGTATCGCCCTGGTTTTACACCAACCTTCCTGGCTATAACAAGAACTGGGCCTGGCGCGGGGACAACCTTTGGGTGAGCAAGTCCTATGCCGCGAACACTGCCGGTCGGTGGCCGTAACCGTCCACTAACACAATTGAACTACACACAGTATGACCGCTGGCAGCACGTCTGGAATGTCAAGCCCGAGTTCGTCCAGATCATCTCGTGGAACGACTACGGCGAGTCCCACTACATCGGTCCCTTGGACGACCGGCAGTACGAGGCCTTCGAGATCGGCCAGGCCCCCTTCAACTACGTCAAGGATATGCCCCACGACGCATGGCGCGCCCACCTGCCATTCCTCATTGACACATACAAGAACCTCAACCCGGCCGTCGGTAAGGAGAGCGTCGTCATGTGGTACCGCGAGTCGCCCGGCAAGGTCTGTCGCGACGGCGGGACAACGGGCAACACGGCGAACCAGCTGCAGGTCGAATTCGAACCTTCCGAGATCTTTGAGGACCGCATCTTCATCGCGGCGCTGATGGCCGAACCGGCGAACATCCAACTGACGGACGGCGAGCACCTCAACGAACTTGTGCGTGAGTCAGAGTGGGCGTACATCCCGGCCGGCGGCGTCGGCATCTACCAGACCAGCATAGCCATGGAGACCATGCTTGACATGGGCGGCGAGATCACGGCTGAAATCTACCGCACAAGTTTAAGCAAATGCTAGTTAAGGTTAGTAGTGCCGGCTAAGTAAACTGTCACGGTAGCAGGCAGGTTGTTTGGCAGGTGGATGCTGGGCAGGCGGATCAGACAATCTATTGCTACGGGCAGGCTCTATCCTAAGCAGGTACAGGCTCTGTTGACAAGACGTAGCTCAAGGAGCTACGTTTCTGGACATGCGCGACAGAATACAGGATGCAGGGTTTTATCCAGCCTCAGGCTTACGTAACCCGGCCACCGGATTACTCAACACCAACCTCAAGGTTGGGGGCTAGGACAGCGGGTCTGTGACATAAACAAGACTAAGATAGCCTTCCTCAAAGGAGCACTTAGTACTCGATTTAAAAGAGGTCTAATTTATATCGAGCTTCCTAAGGATATCTACTATAAATAGCTTTTTAAAGTTTAAGACTTCGCTATGAAGCTTAAACGCTTACCTTAATAGGCGTTTAAAAACGTCCTATCTCGTTTAAAAGTACTACGAGCTAACTAATAAGATATAGATAAAGACGTAGTAATTTAGACGTTAGTTATATTAAGGGTAAGGAGAAGGTATAAAGGGCTGGCCCCTAGGCTTGTTTAACGTAGAGGTGCCGTCGATTAACTATTCTAATGTTACGGCCAGCTAGTCGTAGGGGTAGTTTGCAGAAGTTGAGGCTGCGGAACTGGTAACAGTAATCGTAGTCGGGGATAGCTTCAAGGAAACTATGTCTGTCAATCGTAAGGGTAGGTAAGGCTTCGGTGATCAATCGTAGTCTTGTCAAGGTAGTAGCTGAAAGCGGATGTTAATCCTGATACGAAGTTAATTGCTGAAGAGCTATGGAAAGTCTGTCCTAGAGCCCAGCTCGAGTCCATCCTTATATACAAGTCCGATCCTAACTGAACAGTGCTGTACAGTCCACTTTGTCTGGATATGTTGGATATGCCGAATATCCAACATATCCTTGACTCGGTTGGATATGTCGAATATCCAACATATCCTTGACTCGGTTGGATATGTCGCATATCCAACATATCCTTATCCCTTATCATATCTCTTATCATCACGTGACTTGTACCATAGTTCTTCCGTTCCTGGGGTTTCCCCAATGTTCCGTCCCGTCCTGCATATATGATGCGCCGTAGCCGCTAGGCGTCAGCGGGGCACGCCCTGGTCTTCATGTTGGGTCGTAACATCAGCTCTCCCCTCAAAGGTCTTGTCCTCAAGGCCAATATAAGTAAGTAGTTGTTCCCAGGTTGGGGAATCTGCAAGCTTGCTTCTTTGTTCACATTGACTCGTAATGTCAGGTTACGTTCAAAAACGAAAGGCCGTATCGTCGCCTGAAGTTCGTCCTGTTTGTTCTTCCTGCGAGATTCGGGTTTTTTCCTCGTGTAAGGCTTCGCTTTCTGATTCTTCTCGGTACGCTGAATGCGTACGCGGTGGGAAGTCTTATTGCGATCTCCAGGGTTTATCTTCTCAACAGCTTCGTCGAATTGGTGATCAACACCAGAAGCTAGAGGATGCTCTAGAGCAGGCCGAAGAGCAGCGCCGTACTTTAGATGCTAAGGTGGAGCGTCTTCGAAAGCAAAAGAAGGTGTGGTTTGAAAAAATGATGCGCGCGGTGCGTCGTGGTATCGACAGTGTGGAGGAGTTGGAGCGTGTCGAAAAGGAGGAGGCGGTGGCGGAGCAGCATCGACAAGAGGGGGTGCGTCCTCCTTCCGCTGGTTCCGATCGTCTTCCTGCGGACTTTATCGGGGAGTGGGATACGGTTTATCCCGACGTCGTTTTGTCTCCGTCCTTGTTGGCTGAGTTTGGTTTATTGGATTCGGGTTCGTTAGTGCCGACTTCCGGTAGTCCTCGAGGAGTTGCCGGGAGTTCTGGAGATTCGTAATGGGTTCCCATGTATTTTCCTCGTGTCCGTAGTTTTTCCATTTAATCAAGAATTCTCGTGTCTCGTTCCTGACTCTGTGGTCGATGATTCGTTCGACTTCATACTCTGGTTGATTTGATTCCACAACGATGTAATCGTTCGTGTGCGAGCCTCGTGGTGCTGGCTCAAGGAGTGAGATGTGGAATACCGGGTGACACTTCATTGTGTCTGGTAGTCTCAATTCGTAATTGACTGGTGAGACTTTCTTGATGATCTCAAAGGGTCCAAGCTTTTTATGGTCCAATTTGTCGCTTGGTCGTTTCGTTTTGATGTTGCGTCGAAGGAGATAGGCGCTATCCCCCTCTTCTAAGGTTGGTCCTCCAATCCTTGATCTGTCGGCGTTTTTCTTCATACGCTGCCGTACAAATTCGAGGTCCTGAGAAGCCTTCTTCTGGAGCTCTCTGAGTTTTGTCACGTCGGCCACGGCTTTCACGGCCTGTGGTCCCTGTCGTGCTTCTCCGTACGCTGTTGGCTGGAATCCGTAGTTAAGATAGAACGGGGATTCTCTCGTGCTTTCGCCAACTGCGCTATTATATGCGAATTGGGCCATTGGTAGTAGCGATACCCAATTATTCTGGTCGTAGTTCACATAACAACGAAGGTATGTTTCGAGGATTTGATTAATCCTTTCTGTCTGTCCATCGGTCTGCGGGTGGAAAGAGGTTGACAGCTTATGGTCTGCACCGAGTTGCGAGATCAGGGATCTCCAAAACTTAGCGGTGAACAGCTTATCTCTGTCAGAGACAATTTCCTTGGGTAGACCGTGGTTGGCAACAATAGTCTTGAGGAAGGTATATGCCAGTTCCTCTGTATTGCTTGCTTCTTTGTATGGTACGAAGTAGGCGAACTTGGTAAGTCGATCGACGATGACCAAGATACTGTCGTACAGTACGTTCGTGAGTGGCTCTCTGGACTTTGGTAGTTTGATGATAAAGTCCCATGAGATTGAGTGCTATGCTTCGGGTGGTATCGGAAGCGGTTGCAGCTCTCCATAGGGCTTATGGGGGCTGTTCTTGCTCTTCTTGCAAATGTCGCAATCCTTGATTGCTTCGGCGACTTCTGCTCGCGTGGCAGACTTGTCGTAATGTTGTCGAATTCGTTTCCATGTCTTTGTGACGCCTTGGTGACCGTGTGCCTTAGCGCTATGAATTTCCATGATGAGCTCAGGGGTCATTCTTCCAGTCGGGCTGGTATTGACCTTCCTAGCTATCGTAAGGAGCTTCGTAGTAGGTACAAGGTTGCCATCGTCGTCGTGTTTGAGGATAACCTGTGTTTCCTCGGGGACCTTGACTTCGTGGTCAGGTCTTCTGCTGAGAGCGTCGGCTCTGCTATTCTCTGAACCTTTTCTGTAGATGATTCGGAAGTTGAATTCGGAGAGGAATTCGCTCCATCTAACTTGTCGTTTATTTAGGTTCTTGTTCGTTGTGAAGTTTGCAAGATTCTTGTGGTCTGTGTAGACCGTGACTTCATGCTTGGTTCCTGATAACTGTGGCTTCTATTCTCGAAAGGCTTCGATTATGGCCATCAGTTCCTTATCGTGGATTTGCCAATTCAATTCTGCTCCGTGGAATGCTTTGGAGTAGAATGCGCAAGGGTGAAGTTTTCCTTGCTCGTCTCGTTGTCCTAGGACTGCTCCCATAGCGAAGTCTGAGGCATCGGTCTCGATTTCGAATGGTGTCCTTGGATCTGGGATCATAGTGGTTGGTTCGGAAACCACCATGTTCTTGACTTTGACGAATGCTTCTTCGCATTTGTCGTCCCATACAAATGGCGTATCCTTTCGTGTCAGGTTGTTGAGAGGTCTAACTATGCTGGCATAGTCTTTGAGGAATCGTCGATAGAAATTGACGAATCCTAAGAATTCTTGAACGTTCTTGACGTTCTGAGGTGTAGGCCAGTCCTTGACTGCTTCTACCTTCGATTCTTGCATGTGGATTTCTCCGGGTGTGATCGTGTATCCGAGGAAGTCGACTCGTTGCGTATGGAATTCGCATTTGTCAGGTTCAGCGAAGAGTTTCGCGTCCTGTAGTTTCTGGAATACCTTATGGACGTGTTCCTTATGTATGTCTATATTCGGGGAGAATATGAGGACGTCGTCGATGTAGACGACAACGAAGATGTCTACATATTCTCTGAGGACATGGTTTGCCATTGTCTGGAACGTGGCGGGTGCATTGGTGAGTCCAAAGGGCATGACGAGGTACTCGAAGAGTCCTCTGCGGGTTCGGAATGCTGTTTTCCATTCGTCTCCTTCCTTGATTCGAATCTGGTTGAATGCTTCCTTGAGATCTATCTTGGTGAACCATTGGGCTCCGTATAATAGATCTCTGAGCTCTGTAATGAGGGGTAGGGGGTAGCAATTCTTCTTGGTAATTGCGTTAAGTCCTCTGTAATCGATTACAGGTCTTAATTTCTTCTTCCCCTTCTTCGGGACGAAAAAGAGTGGTGCTCCAGCGGGTGATGATGAGGGTCTAATGTGCCCTTTCGCGAGCTTTTCGTCGATGTATTCGTTGAGCTCTTCCTGCTCTTGTTGGTTCATAGGGTACAGTGGGTAGAACTTTGGTTGCATTCCTTCTTTGAGTTCAATCTCCATGTCCCAGCTACTGTGTTCTGGCAGTCCTGTTCCTTCCTTGGAAACGAACAGTTTGCTGTACTTCCGGTACTCCTCGGGTATAGTCTGGAGTGGGTTCGATCCCTGATCGTCCGTGCCGGGTGCTAACGACCTGGTAGGCTCTACGTGTCTGACGTAGGCAATGTATTTCGTCTGTTCGTCAGGTGTTGCGTAAGACTCGTTTGAACCCTGTTTCTTAGGTCGTTCAGTGACTGAATCTGTCCATTGGATGTGGCCATTCACCCAATCTATCCGTGGATTGTGCTTTCGTAACCACGAGATTCCTAGGATGACGTCGATGTCTCCGATCTCCGTGATGTCGTACTGGAGTTGTTCTGGATGATTGTTGACGTGTGTCGTGAGGTGTACGGTCTCGCGAGTGACAAGTCCTTCGTCATACCCAACTCTTTCTCCTTCTACATTCTGTAGGGTATAAGGTTCTTCCTTCTGTACCCATGGAAGGTCTAACCTGTTCACTATCTTTGGTGATATGAAGGTTCGTTGAGCGCCGCTGTCGATAATCGCGCGCATATCGTGTCCGTTTATCTGGAGTCTCACTCTCAGATGTTCGTCGTTGAGACATGTTGTTGAGCATAGGCGCTTGTCCTTGCTCTCCGCCTTTCGGTGTCTCTTGTCGATTGGCGTTTCTAGTTTTTTGTCATTCTGTTCCTCAGTCTGACGTCTTGTTCGATTCGTTCTTGATGTTCTCTCCAGGCCCTTGCCTTGGGTAAGTAGTGGATTTGACACTGGTCGTGTCTGCAGTCGTCCCATTCTACATATTCGCTGTTCAAGCATTGCATAGGAAAGTTTGGATCAGGTCCAAAGGTTGCCCAATTGTTGTCTTCGAAGGATAGTAGTGTCCAGCTCGTGAGTTGGTCATCTACGTAGACATCCTTGATTGGCTTGTCGTTGATTCTTCGTGGGTAGAATCGAGAGTCTCTTTTGGGTGAGAGGTGCCAAAGGCACTCGTCGTCCAGGCACTCTGCCCAGAAGAGTTCTTCGTGAAAGGGGTTCTTCGGGTCGAGTAGAGAGTGATCCTTAGACGTATAAGGCGTCATGGGGTACTTCTTGCGGTTAGAAGTTCCGTGGAGCGCAACTGCCTGATCGTCGTCGTATGGATCAATATATTTGCATCGGGGTTCGTCGAGATCCTCTTCAGAACTAGTGTCGTCAACGCTAGGCGGTGCCTTGTGATCGATCTCCGTCTGAGCACGTCGTCGAGCGACGTCGCGAGGTTCGTCCGAATCGTAAGGTGAATTTTCACCTTCGTCGAATGTATGTGAGCTAGAACCAAAAGTCGGTTCTTGGCTGTCTGTTCGGAAGTCGATTCTTCCGTTCTCGTTCATTCCGAAATCAAGGTTCTTTCCCTTAATGATTTCGATTCTGTATTCGCGGTCGAGGTCTTCGAGCTGCTCGAGGACCTTGCTTTGGAACTTGTTGTTCGGGTTTTGTCGTATCATGCAGATGGACTTGGTGGGAATTCGTACTTCCCTGGCTGGGATCTCTTCTTCTAGTTGAAGTAGGGATTTCTTGTTATGATCCTCGAGGGTCTTTGGTCGTTGCGTGACCTCTTGCCTGCTTGTCATAGCGAGGGTCTTGATGCTAGCGGGCTCCTTAGGGTACCATCCCGTGTTTTCCTTACTGTCTTGATGGGTAAGGCAGTTGTCGTCGTAGCATGCCGTCCAAGAGAGTTGCTTATGCGGAATTTCCTTGGTAGCGATCCTGATCTGTTTCTCGGGCACAGGTCGCTGCTGGATCCTTCTGGGTTGTTGACAGTTGCGGGACATGTGTCCTGGCTTGTCGCAGTTGTAGCATCTGAAGACTTCCTTCTGGTACGGTTGTTCTCGTTTGGCCATGCTGAGGTCCATCGGTCCACTATGGTGTCCATAGGCCGTGGTTTGTCGGTTCTGCCAATGGTTGTTTCTAGGGCGGTTCTGTCCTTGGAAGCGCGGTTGATAGCGTTTCCCAGTGTTTGCTTGCGGGACTTGTTTCCTTTCCCTTCGTCGTTCGTAAAGTCGATTGTCAAGCTTGATAGCTAGTTCGACATATTTCAAGAAGTCGTTGGGTCTGTCTTGTCGAGACAGTTCGTCCTTGACTTCCTCCTTGAGACCTTCATAGAACATGAAAATCTTAGCGTTGTCGGAGTAGTTAAGTCGGGCGCAGATTCGTCTGAAATCTGCAGCGTAATGCGAGGCTGATCCTTTCTGTCGAAGGTTTGAGAGCTCTCGCTCGTATTGTCGTTCTTCATCTGGTTCTTGGAACAGAGATAGAAGTGCACTTTCGAATCCGTGCAGTCCTTCGAAGATACCTTGGGTCTCTGGCTTGAGAGTGTCCCAGTCGTTGGTTATCATAAAGTCGGTAAGATGTGGTTCGAACCATGCGAGGGCTTTTCCCTTTAAAAAGGAGGCGGCATGGATGACCTTCTCGGCTTCGTCCTTAAAGTTCATTCCGTGGAAGCGTTGGTAGGCTCTGACTTGCGTGAGGAATCCCTTCAGTTGTCCTGGGGTTCCGTCAAAGGCTTGAGGTGAGTTGAGCCTGAGCTTCTCTCGTCCGTCATGCGGCGTAGCGATGATGTTAGCGGTACCGTGGGGAGTATTGACCTTCTCCGTAAGGTAGTCCGCTTCCTTGGTCTTGTTCTCAAGTCGCTCCATAGCGTCATTGAACATTTGTTGCATCATGGCGATGTCGGAGTCGTTCTTCTTGATCTTCTTCTGTAGGTTTTCATAGACCTTACGAGTGAAGTCAAGTTCTTCTTCCGAGTCTTCGACGTCCTTCATTTCTTCGTCCAGGGTTTTGGCGGGCATAGGGGCCTTACCCTTGGAGTCGTTGGAAGTGGACGGGGTGGCTTGGGAAGACATCGTCGTTCTTACTGTTAGTGAGTTTCGTAGGGTCAACTTACTGAACAGGAGCAATTAAAGTGTTACGGCCAGCTAGTCGTAGGGGTAGTTTGCAGAAGTTGAGGCTGCGGAACTGGTAACAGTAATCGTAGTCGGGGATAGCTTCAAGGAAACTATGTCTGTCAATCGTAAGGGTAGGTAAGGCTTCGGTGATCAATCGTAGTCTTGTCAAGGTAGTAGCTGAAAGCGGATGTTAATCCTGATACGAAGTTAATTGCTGAAGAGCTATGGAAAGTCTGTCCTAGAGCCCAGCTCGAGTCCATCCTTATATACAAGTCCGATCCTAACTGAACAGTGCTGTACAGTCCACTTTGTCTGGATATGTTGGATATGCCGAATATCCAACATATCCTTGACTCGGTTGGATATGTCGAATATCCAACATATCCTTGACTCGGTTGGATATGTCGCATATCCAACATATCCTTATCCCTTATCATATCTCTTATCATCACGTGACTTGTACCATAGTTCTTCCGTTCCTGGGGTTTCCCCAATGTTCCGTCCCGTCCTGCATATATGATGCGCCGTAGCCGCTAGGCGTCAGCGGGGCACGCCCTGGTCTTCATGTTGGGTCGTAACATCTAAGCTAAGGAGGAAAAGGAGGAATTATAGGGGTTTACGTATAGCTATAGTATAATATACCCGGACTCGGCGGTATATTACGGTAGAATAAAAGCTCTAATAAAGCCGGATATCTCGACCGGCTCTGGCCTATAGTATAACCGAATATAATAATCTAATGTAATAATTGGTTATTACAGGTTGCGGCCGGATAGCTTCCTAGTAGAGGGGTGTGCGTGCGGCTCCGGTAAGGCCGGAGATCTTAACCGGGCTCTAGCCCGTAATATTACCCTCTTATCCCCCTCTAGCGGCGCGCTCGCGGTGCTAACGCCGGGTCTCCGTTATACTTTATTACTGGGCCGTAGCGGCGCTTATAAGCCTTTCACTGGGAAGTGGTTATGACAAGCACCGCTTCTACAACCTCTTCAAGGTTTTCGGACGCAGGTAAGTGCCGCCATTTCATGAAAATTTTGGTCATGATGCTGATGGTGTACTACGTTTTCTAATTTAGAACAATGTTTTCAACTCTTGTGAAGGGCGATGTAAGCTGCCTCAACTGGTTCTCTAAGGCAACATAGATCTAACCTTTGTACAGCATGCGAAGCGCAAACGTATCATCGTCGATCGCTATGCTAATAGCAATGTTGTGAAGCCCATGGCGCTGAGCGGTATTAAGAAGCGCGCGGAAGAGTTTGTAAAGCAGTGTACGGATACAACAAGGAAAAGTGTTGATGTCTACGTAAGTTTACATCTTCGAAGAAGGAGACCCGGCAGTGAACTAAGTATTGAATCTCACTAACGCTGTTTCCTCTGGTCACCAGGTCAAACTTCATTCTTACGCTTGTGACTGCGTGACACACCATTTGTTCCACCCGTACGGAACAAATAGTCTCCAGAAACAGGAAGACACGGATATGATGGAGCAAGTCACAACGGACGATAGTCTTCGAAGTGAGGTTGCCTAGTTTCGTGGAAAGTGAGTGCTTTCTAACCTTCAGCTCACCAGGTCGCCTTATTCAGCATCATTACCCAGTGTTCTACCAGTACTTCTCCAAGGTTCTTGACCTCTTTTTCGATCCACGAGCCACACCCCTCGCCAAGGACTTCGTTGTTGGTGCCACCTCTAAAATCGATCCGGCGCCCTTTACACTTCTAAGCCGCCTCCAAGACAAGAGAGAAAGCGGCAGCAGCGTCAACCAAATGGATGCCACTGACATCGCCGCAGAATGTATGGATCACATGGTAGCTGGAATTGATACAACCGGTGATTCTCTGTGTTTCTTGATGTGGGAACTATCACAGCCGGGATCTCTGGAGATTCAATGAAAACTCCAGGAAGAGATTCGAGAAAACCCAGATGTCTCCTTTGATAAGCTTTCTTACCTTGACGCCGTTGTTCAAGAAGGCCTCCGATGCTATCCCGCGATCCCAATGTCGCTGCCTCGGGTGGTTCCGCCTGGAGGAAAGACAATTGATGGATACTTTGTTTCCGAGGGTACCATCGTGAGCAGCCAGGCTTACTCAGTTCATCGCAACAACGATGCAGTATTTCCCAATCCTGACACTTTCAGCCCTGAACGCTGGCTGTCTCCCACTGGCGAGGCCGAGAGGAAGAGACACATGTTTGCGTTTGCTCACGGAGGAAGAGGCTGTGTCGGAAAACAGTAAGAGCTTTCTACTACATTCCTACGGATTACAAATTGCGAGTTGGTACTAATATGGAACAGTCTTGCACTAGCAGAGATGAAAATTCTGCTTCGGGGTATATATGGACGGTATTCCACAGTACCAGATCCTTCTATCACTCCCGAGAGCATGAGATCTCACGACGAGATTATTTCTGCCCGGCCATATGGACAAAAGTGTTTCTTGCGATTCATTCCCATCGCCAATGAGGAGGCCGTATGAGTGGCTATTGCTTACTTGTCTTCCGAATTGATGTCAGAAAACATGCGTTATTATCTATTTGGCTACCAGCGCCGCTAGAAATAATCTTGGGATAGACACTACAGACATCATCTCGATGCAACCCAATGTTCCAATGGACTTTCCTTAGTACGACTTGATTACCCCTAACAAGAATCACTTCCATGCTACACCGTTGTTTTATTACCGAACAAGGATCGTTCATTATCATGTCAAATTCTTGACGAAACCATCTATTACCCCGAGGGTCATTTTGATTTCTGATTCTCTGGACGAATCACGATTCGTACGCAAGCCACTTACCCCATCCAATTGTCAGACCCCGAGGCGGGAGGCGGGGCTTAAATGCAACGGTTATTAGGCAAATCGATTTCCGAGAATGGGATTCGGCTCTGAAGATCTTAGGGGCTTTGGCCACCTGAAATCACACCGAGTCATTGCCGGCATTCCATGAGAACCTTATTTATCGTCGGCGATGTTGCCATGGATGGCGTAAATTGCGTAAAACCACTGTCGATGCCTTTTGTCTCATAGCTGGTATTCAATTTGAAGGCTCGACTTGGTGATACTGAGTTAACAGAAACAAAACTCAATTTATCATCTCGCGGTACCAGCGACAGATGGCATGGTTTTGAACATAGTCTGTGAAGTGAAAAGCCTCCACTACGCAATTCCAACATGATATATCGCGCATTCAATGCGAATGCGACAGCCCGAGGTCAGATTTCTGAAATGACTTCTCGACATTATTTACAATAACAAGTTGACGTGACGATGTGAAAGCTTGTCTCGGACGGAGAATTGCGCTCGCGAGGCCGGCGGACATAGCGGGCGCACGCAAAGGTTTTTACAGTGAGTTCAGGCTCATTTTACTCAGCCCACCTTGGATGCGAACTAGTAAATTGGCACTTCTTTCTCCAGCTGTCACTCAGCCCTGGTCAATCAAAGCTTTGAACTCTAACAGAGAGAATCTTGGCCTAATCCTTGCTCTGAGAGGGTGTAATCCACCGGACGGTCCGGGATGTAGGGTCTCTCGAAGCACGCAAGCATGGCCAACATGCTGCAACTCAGGAACAACCACCACCAGGAACAGTGCAGTCTGGGTCGGATCAAAGAATATGAGAATAATGACCAAGTCAACGTCGAGACTGTAGAATCCAACTGCTCTTACGGAGTCCGACTCCGGCCTTGGACTCAGAAGATGTCCGTCTGTTGATGTGGAGCCCGCCATTCAGAGTTCGTGTTCTTTAATCAATTTAACTTCATTACCTCTTTGAGTCAAACTCTGCTTGGTGATTGGCCTTGGCTTCTAACTTTACCGGACCGCCGGGCTCAGTCGGCACCTTTCGCCTTGTAATACGGCATGTACGGATATATAGCTTCTATAGTCGCCAAGTCTTAATAAAGCCGGTCTTGAATAGAAGCATCTCTCAAGTCATTCCTTTGATCACCCCAGTCATTCGTTTTCCATAACTTCTCTTTGCAATGCGTTCCCACCTTTTGTCGCTATGCGCTTTCAGCGCCACATTAATTAATGCTGCCCCCTCCGGCCTAGGCTGCTACGACGAGTCCGCCTTCAAGCCCGAGGACATCATCCAGCGCGACGTTCTCGTCGTCGGAGGTGGAGCCACCGGAACCTACGCCGCTGTCAGCCTTCGGGACCAGAACAAGACCGTCGCCGTCGTCGAGCGTGCCGACAAGCTCGGAGGTCACGTCAACACCTTCCGCGACCCCGCGACCGGCGCAACCATCGATTATGGCGTGCAGGCATTCATCCAGAATAACCAGACGACACAGTTCTTTGAGCGCTTCAACGTCCAGCTGAACACCTCTGCCCTATCTCCTTTCCCGAGCAAGATTGTCGACTTCAAGACCGGCTTCGTCGTCCCCAACGCCACCGCCGTCGACCCCAGCACCCTTGTCGGACCTCTGGCGAGCTACCTCTTTGCCACGCTCAACTTTGAATTCCTGGCTGAGGGCGCTTACGATATCCCCGAGAACGTTCCCGAGGACCTGCTGCTGCCCTTCGGCCAGTTCATTCAGAAGTACAACCTGACCGAGGTCGTCCAGGTCGTCTGGATCTTCGCTCACGGTGTCGGCAACCTTCTCGAGACCCCGACCCTCTACGTTTTGCAGAACTTCGGCCAACCTCATCTTCTCGGTCTCTCTAGAGGCTACCTGTACGCGCCTGGTGGCAACCAGCAGGTGTACGACAAGGCCGGCGCATTCCTTGGAAGCGATGTCCTGTACTCCAGCACTGTCGTTGCCTCCGAGCGCACTGATGATGGCGTTAAGGCCGTCATTGCCACCGCCACGGGCCGCAAGCTCATCAAGGCCAAGAAGCTCCTCATCACTATCCCACCTACCGTCCGGAACCTCGCCCCCTTCGATCTCGATGACTCTGAGACTTCTGTCTTCAGCCAGTGGGAGAACGTCCCCTACTACGTTGGTATCGTCTCAGATACTGGCCTTCCTGAGTTGACCAACTTCCTCAACGTCGACATCACTGCTCCTGATGCCCTTCCTTCCAAGCCCTTTGTCTGGCGCCTGGAGACCGTCGGCGTTCCTGGCTACCAGACCGTCAAGGTCGTCGGCGAGGCTGACTCGACCAAAGCCCAGGGCTTGGTCGCCGATGCCGTCCGTAAGGTCGGAGCTTCGTCCAACAGCACCTCTGCCACTGGCGGCGAGTTCGCCGCCTGGGAGGAGCACTCCAACCTCCAGCTTCACGTTTCTACGGAGGCTGTCAAGGCCGGTTTCTACCGAGACTTGTACGCTCTTCAGGGCAAGAGAAGCACATACTACACCGGCAACGCTTGGTGCTCTGACTACTCTCCTCTGCTTTGGCAATTCACCGAGGAGAGAATTCTCCCCTTCTTGTAAAGGAGGTTTTGTTCATAGCACAGCGTAATCAGTAATTTGACATATACCACTGCTGCGAACAACTTACTTAGTCTGGTCGAGCCAGAAAAGGCCAATCATCCGTCTTTGGTGCTGTTGCCTCACGATATCTTGACTGCCTAGAGTTTGAGTAACTTCTTTAGCAACAATATTTGTACTCTTAACCATCAGTGCCGTAACGCAGCATTCTCAGTAGATCGTAAGCGTTGGCGAGTGCGAAGACATACATGTAAAAACGACTAGACGGTGGCCCTTTCCCCATAATTACTTTTCGTTACGAGTTTCAAATTGAGTAGAGCAATGCTCCCGCATAATCCTTTATGAGGTTTGAAAGTCTAAGAAAAAGACGTATATATTCCTGCCAGCCCAGCTCCCAGAGTGAGTGCAATTTCTAGAGTCTTTCCGTCAAAGTCTTCAAATATATTCTCCATCATGCATGTTCGATCAACTTCCCTCTCGCCTAATTTTTCTTGGCATCTACTGTTAGTGTAATAAGTGGGCTACCACCAAAATCCTTAACAGCTGAAAACCCTTCACCTCTCCTCCGGCGCTCTCCCGCGATGGCCTCGCAGCCTCCGGCGGGCTCTGGACCGTTGCCGGCCTCCTCGGCCGGCCCTGATTGAGGCTCTGGACCCTTTTCAGAGCCGCCCCCATCCTCAAGGGCTAAACGCCGCCGCGAAACCGAGGCCCAGCCACTCCGGCCCAGCCTCGTGGGAAGCCAGCCCGACGCCCCAACAACAACCCCCTTAACGGCTAAGGGGCCCTCGACTATGACTGGGACAGCTACTGGAGCTGTCCTTACAGCTCTCAATGAAGAGGCTAAGCACTATGAAGCCCGAAAGGACGTCTTTATGGCTATTGCTTAGTCTGTGGACAACGTGATCTCTTGCTTTGAGGGGCCTAGGAAGCAGATTGCAAAAGAAGCTACAACCTATGTAATCCAAGCCTTGAAGAGGATTATGGGTAACGAGACTACGGCTCCGGCTCCGAGCCGGAAATGGACTGACGTAGCAGCCTCGGCTTCAACTACAGCCGTGGCCGTAGCCCCGACCCGTACCCGAATCCCCACCCGGCCCGAAGTCCAGACACAGAGTCTGACGGAGACCCGGGCCCAGGCTCTATCCCAACCGAAGGAGGACCTCCGGGTCTTTACCCGTATCCCAGAAGAGGGCCTAGCGGCTGCTAGGAAGCACGTCCCCTTCGCCCTACGCCGGACAGTCTGCCAGGCCCTTAGGCTCCAGCTGGCAGATATCCCACACATCTACCATATTGCAACTGGCTACTCACTGAGACCCCTGAATAAGCAGGTTCAGCAAGCCCTCCTTGCAAACAAACAGAAACTAGCAGAGTGTCTTGGAGCCTATAAGGTTGAGACCCCTATTAAGTGGTTTACCTACGTCGTCCCACGTTGCCCTGCTAAGATGTGGACTCTTGATGGCGACGCCCTTGACCCAGCTACTCTGGTAGAAGATGAGGTCCTTGCCCAAACAGGACGTAAGCCTACCCGGGCCCAGCAGTCCCGGCTAGGTGTAAACCCTATTATAAACGAAGTCTCCTGGGTCATCTCCTTCTCTGTGGAAGTACCACCCTTCAGACTGTTTAACCAAAGCAGCAGGTCTCAGCTTATCCAAAAGAAGACCCTAATCAGACATGATCCTGGATGCCAGGGATATCATTCGAACCGATACTGTCACCGATAGCCACTCTGTAGCAACTGTAGCAGGCCCTCGGGATCCCACGAGACTGGGCCTTGCATAGCTAGACCGAAGTGCGCCAACTGCTCCGGCCCCTTCCAAGCTAACCATAAGGACTGTCCAGCAAGGCCCCTAGTGGTTAATGGCTCCCCTACCCTCCCAGACCGGAAGGAACTCTCCCGGATCCGTAAGGCTGGTCAGAAGGCCTATGAGGCCCTCTATCAGAGCAGCCAGGCTGGCACCCAAGCCAGCAACACCCAGCAACCTAGCAACAGCCTAACGAGCCATCAGCCCGGCTCAAAGCGCCCACGCGCCCCTACCCCTACCCAGGACTCAATTGTTGTAGCGGACGTTAGTGATGCGGCTAGCTGTAGCAGCATGGATGAAGAT